GCTAGAGCAGTCAAAGCACATACATTTATCGGTTAAGTTCTCTGTCTTATACGGGTATGCTTCATTGTGTCCCTCAAACAATTACAACAGAGGTCACTGATCACAGATGACTAGAAAAAATTATAATGAAAAAGCTTGAACTAAGTACTAAATATGATACATGTGCTGTTAGAAAAAATGGCATCACTAGCTCCTCCAACTGTCCCTATTCAAAAACTGAGCCAAAATAAATATTTCCTCCCTTCAAAAAAGGCATTGCCTGGGTGGTTTTCTCTGTGACTTTATATGGAACCTCAGCTCTTGGGGCACCTACAGTGTGATCCTAGTTCAGGATCTTGACTACAAGAAGCTAGGACCTTGAGAAGTAGAATGATAGTTATTCAAGTCACACTGCTACAAATTATGTTAGCAGAGCTGGGATTAGAGTTTAGATTTCTGCCTCCTAAGGTTCTTGAAATGAGTCTGTGAAGTAACCCCCTACTTTTCAGGTCCTTTCTATCCTGTTTCCTCTTTTCTAAGTGTCTGTGTGTTAACTGCCTCTTTACTGTGTGGTAAACTTCCTCTTTCTGTTTATGTTTCATTGGATGTTGGACATTGTGAATATTCTTTGATATTTCTGGGTTTAGTTTTCTTGCTTTAAAAGACTGGTGAGTTTTATTTTAGTAGCCATTTAGGTTACCTGTGGGTCATCTTAATCTTGTTGAGGCTCGTGTATAAGCTTGGATAGAAAAGATTTCTTGGCTTACCCTGGCTGCCCTTTTACTAAAGGCATGACTCTTCTAGATCTCTAAATGAATACTGTAAAGATTCAACAAGATCTTGTTTCCCTGGAGGTCAGAAATTGAATGGCTTCCAGGCCTAGGTGAATTCTGTGAATTATTCAGCTTATACCTCTCAGTAGTCAACTTTTGTTCACGTATAGCTTAGTATTAGATGGATTCAGGGTCTCCCTAAGTAAATTTCTAGAGCACTTTTACATATGTCTCTGTTGCTTTACTCTGCCCCCTACTCCAATTCAGTCTCTTTAAGCTCTTCAAATCTGTCCTTTCACCCCAGTGTATCCATCACTTCTACTCGGTGTAGAAAGTTCTCTCACTGTGACCGCTGGAGAGTCTTGGGTATCTCTGCCTAGAATCAGTTTCCAGGGAATGGACATTAAGAAACTGACAGTTTGATGACCTGGGAGTGAGAAAATCCACAGAGGCATGGTGAAAGGTTACAAAGGAGTTTTATTAGTCTGTCTGTAACTGCCTTGTCCTGGGCTACCTCAGAACCAGGAGCAGCTGCAGCTTCCAAGGGGGCAAGGTTGTTTTTTTGTTTTTTGTTTTCTCTGTTTTCCTTCTTCCTGCAGGCTTCTCTGCTCTGCACAGGCCTCTCATCTCTGCCAGGCTGCCTGGCTCTCCACTCTCCATAGGCTGCCCAGCTCTCCTCCGGCCTCTACGCCAACCCTGCTCTCCTCAGGCCTGACCAAACACCTCTCTGCTCCTCCGGGAGGCAGGTCTCTTGCAGCGTGTCTCTCTTTCTCTATCTCCCCGTTCCCCCGAAACATGCAGCCTATATGTATCAGGTGCCCTGCCCCCAACCACACAGCCCCCAGTGGCCCAGCATGCGTGGCAGTGATGACAGGACGGCACAGGGCAGGACTTCCTGCCCCTCTGATTCTCACATTCCCCACTGGTTTTTATGTCCAATCAAATCATTGATTTTTTTTTTGTTTACATCCTTCTTTTGGGCCAAATCCTAAACTCCCCCAGGGAGAAGAGGCAGGTCCAGCAGATAATAACAGGCCATTCTTTAACTTTTTTCCAAGCGGAATCTTCAGGTTGGAAGAGATGGGCTGGATCTGGGCTGGGCTGTGGTGGTTCTCCCAGCGGCTTTGATGGATTATCACACCTCCTGCTGTGCTTCCTGCAAATTTCTACATAGACTGGGTTATATTACATAGGCTTGGAAGGCTGAGGCCCCATTGGTTTTCAAGACAGTTTTAGGCAGAGGCCTGAGGCAATTTACCAAGGTGACAAATAACCAGATACAGACAGATGCAGAAGGCTTGAGCCTCCACAAGTGCATTTTCCATACTTGTTACACTTTTTACCACTGTTTTTCATGCCTCTTCCTTTAATCTTATCGTGCCTCATTTCCCAAAAAATGACTGGTTCCTTGATCTTAAAGGAGGTTGATGGGCAAAGATCATCCATCCTCTGTAACACTTCTTCAAGCTGACTCAGGAGCGCTGACCCTACTTAGCCAGGAACCCATAACCTTAGCCTATTTTACCAAGGGGTTGGTCAAGATTGGATGTCATTAAGAATACGTTACTCCAAACTGGAAATTATATAGAACATTTAAAAATCGCACAGACCTTTTGAATACCTTCACTTGGAGGAAGGCTGGATAGGGGTCACCCTGTCTTTTATCCAAGTTAGACAAGAGCACTTTACAACTGTTTACACTGCCAGGACCAGCCAAATGTCTGAAGTAGGCCCACAGCAGTCTCTTTAGCCAGACTGCTAGAGGACCAAACCAGGCCTGCAACTGCCCATGTGCCCTGCCTCTTGACTGCCACCACACAGGGAGAGGGACATAGTAGGCCTGTGATCAGGCCCAGCCGGAGGCTGGAACTTTTATTCCCCCAGAGATGTCCAAATGAGCTTCAAAAACACAGATCTACATTTAAAACTGGTACCAATTCCAAAAACAAAACAAGACAAAAACCAAAGGCTGAGTTGGAGCCTAGTGGCCTCAAGCTCATCCCTACCAGGACTCTGAGTCTGCCAAGTGGTCCTGCCACTCCCACTCAGCAAGTTGAACTCAAAGTCTGCTGAGTGAGCTTGCCATGCCAACTCAGCAAGCCAAATTCCCCATTTTATAGGATGAGAGCACTACCAGATAACGGGTGGGCTGTTCAGAACCACCCCCCCCCAACCTCAGCAGAACCAGGTGCCAGGTAGAATCCAACTAAGGCCAGACTGCCTTGGTGAGTGGTCTCCCTCAACCATGGCCTTATAGAACAGAACCTCACAGTGCCATCGCACTCTTGGAGATAGTGGATGGGTTACCTAGACTGTCCACTCCCCATTGTCTCCACTGTTCCAGACAGATCGATCCCCAGAATAAAGTAGAGAAAACATGCAAACAGAAGGCAAGACAATTTGTCTTGACTTACTAATGAAAGATTTCTGAGTGACTATAAAAAGAATTTTTATGGTATGTCTAGCATCCAGGAGTGGATCATGATGGAAAGATCATAGTCCCTGAAACATCTCAAAGGGCTCTTCCCCTGAGGGAATTTCTGTCCCTTGTTAGCCGGCCAGCCAAGGCCATCCATCAGTGGCTCCAAGGAATCCCAGTGTCAACACTGAAAGACTAAAACAAGTGGCCACAGACACCCACATGTGCCACATGACCACTCAAGGAAGCCCCAGATGGCTTCTTTTTTAAAAAAAAAATTTTAATTGTTATTATAAAGGCGATGTACACAGGGGTTATACACTTATATAAGTCAGGTGAAAAGTACTTTTTTTGTTTTTGTTTTTGGGTCCAGTCGTGGGGCCTGAACTCTGGGCCTGGGTGCTGTCCCTCAGCTCTTCAGATCAAGGCTAGCACTCTACCACTTAAGCCACAGCGCCACTTCCAGCTTTTTTCTTTTTGCTTATGTGGTGCTGAGGAATCAAACCCAGGGCCTCATGCATGTAAGGCAAGCGCTCTACCACTGAGCCACCTTCCCAGCCCCCAGATGGCTTCTGAAAGCAATCTCAGATGACATTTTGAGGAGGTCCCAGATGGCTTCTCAAGAAAGCCTCAGGAGGTGCAGGCGACATCTTATCCCAGCCTCATACTTGGGAAGTAACACTGGGTCCAGCCTTCCACTGAGTCTCCCAAGATGCAGGCCTGCCCAGCCCAGATGGCTTTTCAAGGAAACCCCAGATAACTTCTGGAAGTCCCAGATGACCTCCCAAGGAAGTCCCAGATGGCTTCTCAAGGAAGACCCAGGAGGCATGGGAGATGTCTTATCCTAGCCTCAGACTCGGGAAGTAGTGCTACATCCAGCCTTCCACTAAGTCTCCGCAGATGCAGCCCTGCCCAGACTCACCACTGGCGGGTTTCTGAATGACTCCTGTCCACATTGTTTCTCTGGAAACAGATGTTCAAGGGAGGCTCTCTCCCAAAGGCTGAGGCAGTCACGCACATGCACAAGGGATTTTCCTGAGGGGCCATGGCCCGATGCCATGCAGGTGAATTATCTCACAGGGGCCTCCAAATGTAATGACGTGGGAGCAAGACAATCCACAAAGGCACATTTAAAGGTTACAATGGTGTTTTATTATTCTACAGCTGCTTTGTCCTGAGCTACCTTAGAATGAGGAGCAGCTGCAACCTCCAAGGAGGCTTTTTTTCCCCTTTTTTCCTCCTTCCCACAGGCCTCTCTGCTCCTCACAGGCCTCTTCAGTCTCCACAGGCCTCTGCAGTACTCTCACCTCTGTGCAGTCTCCACAGGCCTCTGCCCAGGCCTTTCTGCTCTCTCAGACCTCTTCCCAGGCCTCTCTGCTCTCTGCAGGCCGCTGTGCAGGCCTCTTTGCTCCTCACAGACCTCTTCACTCTCCTCAGGCCTCTGCACAGGCCTCTTGCCTCTGTGTAGGCCTCTCTGCTCTCCATAGGCTGCCTGACTCTCCTCAGGCCTGAGGAGAGCCCAGGTACAGCTCCACTTTGGGAGGCGTGTCTCTTGAGGCATGTCTCTCTTCTCTGTCTCCCCCTTCCCTGGAACACACAGCCTATATATATTGGGTACCCCGCCCCCAAACCTTGTCTCCCCCTTCCCCCCCCCCCAGCGGCCCAGTGTGTGTGACAGTGACATCAACACGAGGCAGGACTTCCCTCCTCTTTGGTTCTCAAAACAGTTGCTGGGGGCTGGGGGCTCACACCTGTAATCCTACTAATACTAATTAACCATTTTTAACTGAAGTCCTATAATGGGTTTATTAAAATACGCTTTTTTACAGGGTTTGAACTACAGTTCCGATTGGGCCCAACTTTGCAGGGGAAAGCAGTAACTGTGTATACAAATTACCCATTTCCTGGAGAAGCATTTAATCGAGAAAAGTTCTATTCCTTGGATTGGGAAAATCCAACAGAAAGAGAAGATGATTCTGACAAGTACTGTAAACTTAACCTGCAACAGTCAGGGTCATTTCAGTATCACTTCCTCCAAGGGTAAGTCAGCTCTTTTTTTTTTAAGTATTAGATAACCTTAAGCTATATAATTTGCAAAAGTTACTACATTTCAGTGCAATTTATACAGGGCTTAGAATATAGTTCTTCTAAATTATTACGGGCTGGGAATGTGGCTTAGTGCTTGCCTAGCATGCATGAACCTGTGGGTTTGATTACTCAGTACCACATAAACAGAAAAGGTCAGAAGTAGATCTGTGGCTCAGGTAGTGGAGTGCTAGCCTTGACAGAAGAAACTCACGGACAGTGGCCAGGCCCTGAGTTCAAGCCCCAGGACTGGCAAAAAAAAAAAAAAAAGATTATTATGTAGCATTGCAGATTCAAAGATGATATAATTTTAAGAAAATATTCTTTTCCTATAATCTGATGATAGGAACCTATTAACTTGAGTGCCTTTGTAGTTATTGATAGACTTTAGTGTATTTATTTTTCATTAAAACAACAGTATTGAAAATCATCTATATTCTGTTATATAATAATTATTAGGAAAAAGATGAAAGTTTTTCCATTGTTTTGTTGCAACTTTGAAAAATGGTTTTATGTGCTTAGAAATAAACATTTTAAGCCAGTTGTTGGTGACTCACTCTTGTAACCTTAGCTACTCAGGTGGCTGAGATCTGAGGATAGAGGCTCAAAGCCAGCAGGCAGGAAACTTCGTGACATTTCTATCTCATTAAGCACCAAAAAAAAAGACAGAAGTGGAGCTGTGGCTGCATAGATGCTAGCCTTGAGAAAATGTTCAAGGAGGGGCTGGGAAGGTAGCTCAGTGGTAGAGCGCTTGCCTTGCATGCCTGAGACCCTGGGTTCGGTTCCTCAGCACTATATAAGCAAAAAGAATAAAAGCCGGAAGTGGCGCTGTGGCTCAAGTGGTAGAGCGCTAGCCTTGAGCTGAAGAGCTGAGGGCCCAGGCCCAGAGTTCAGGCCCCACGACCGGACCCAAAAAAAAAAAAAGAAAAGAAAACGTCCAAGGACAGCACCCAGGCCCTGACTTAAAGACTTAGAATCAGCCCAAAAAAGAAGGAATGAACAAATGAATGAAATGAAAAGGAAGATTTTTTTATTTTTATTTTTTATGTTGGTTGTGGGGCTTGAACTCAGCGCCTGGGAGTCGTCCCTGGGCCATTTGTGCCACTTGAGCCACAGCGCCACTTCCTGTTTTTGAGTGGTTAATTGGAGATAAGAGTCTCTTGGGGACTTTTCTTCCCTGGTCTGGCTTGGAATCGAGATCCTCAGATCTCAGCCTCCTGAGTAGCTAGGATTATAAGCGTGAGCCACCTGCGCCCCAGCTGAAGGAAGCTTTTCAAATTGGGACAATTAACTTCCGGTCCGACTTTAGATGAAGAACTTCTTTTCCTATCATTAATTAAAAGGTTTTTGTTTTTATCTTCTCAGAAACGAGAGAAGCGGTGGAGGTTACATAGTGGTGGACCCTGTTTTACGTGTTGGGGCTGACAATCACATATTGCCCCTGGACTGTGTCACTCTCCAGACCTTTTTAGCTAAGTGTTTGGGACCCTTTGATGAATGGGAAAGCAGACTTAGGGTTGCAAAAGAATCAGGTAATGTCAACTTGCTTTCTTCATTTTACAAATTATGTAATTTTCGTCTGACAGATTAATGTTATTAAAATATTTAGTAACATTAAGTAGGTAACAGCATGTGATTGTGTGTGAGAGAGAGAGAGAGAGAGAGAGAATGAGAGAGAGATTGATTTCTGAGGCTTGAATTCAGGGCTTAGTAGCTGTCTCTGAGGAGTTCTTTGTTTTTGTTTTTGTTTGCTCAAGGTTGGTGCTCTTATTGGTTGAGCCACAGCCATAGTTTTTGGTGGTTAATTAGAGATTGTAGTCCTATATTTTCCTTCCCAGGCTGGCTTCAAACTGCAATCCTCAGATCTCAGCCTCCTGATTAGCTAGGATTACAGGTGTGAGCCACTGGTGCCCGGCTTGTACTTGACTATTTTTAACCTATGAAAATGACAAATTATATAGTTCAACATAGTAAGCGGCGGAACTATAATTAAATGACTTAGTTATTATTGCTAGGATTTTACTTGACATGAAAATTAGTAGTAAAATATTAAAGTATGAAGTTAAATGCATAATCATGTATAATTTCAATTAACAAACATTGATTAGCCATTTTCCATGTGGAAGGCAAGTATTATTGAACTTTAGGAGCAGAAAATTAATGTCACTCATTTTACTTAAGTATTTTACTTTAAGTGACATTAATTTTCCATTCCTCAGTTAAATATTGAATGAAAGAATGAAAAGTTGAGTGACATAAGTATTATGAATAAATATGCATACCATGGAATATTAAAAGTAGGAAAGACATATTAATATGCTTGTTAGACAGGCACTCTACCACTTAAACCATTCCCCCAACCCTCTAGATGTACTTGAATGGGCTGTATTTTCTACATACAAAGTTACCATTCAGCAATTATAAACTGAACAATGTTTGTGATTGCTTCCAAGAACTTCTCATCATCCTTGTCTTGTAGCTGAGGACTCTAATAGATAGAATTCAGTAGATGTGCTTCAAGCCTTATGGGGCAGCTGGGCTTTGAACCCAAGTCTTTGGTTCCTTTTCCACTAGCATGTTTACTTCCTACTTATACTTAATTAATGTTTGTGCTTTGTTTAATTGTTGGTTGTTCTTGTTTGTTTTCTCTTACAGTGGCCTTTGTTTTCTCTCTTTGTAGGTTATAACATGATTCATTTCACCCCGTTACAGACTCTTGGACTATCTAGGTCATGTTACTCCTTGGCTAATCAGTTAGAATTAAATCCTGACTTTTCAAGACCTAATAAACAGTATACCTGGGATGATGTGGGACAGCTGGTACAAAAACTGAAAAGAGAGTGGAATATTCTTTGTATCACAGATGTTGTTTACAATCATACTGGTATGAGCTTCACTAATTTTTAATATTAAATTCTGTTTCTTTCTTTGATGTTTTTATTTCATTTTGCTTTATTAATTTTTTTCTTCTGTTACAAGAGATCAGACTCAGGGCCTAATAAATGCAAGGTAAGTGCTGTACCACTAAGACATATCCCCAGCTTTTGTATAACATAAATTTAAAGACACAAGCTGGGTACTGGTGGCTCATGCCTGTAATTCTAGTAAACTCAGGAAGCTGAGGATCAAAGCTCAAAGCTGGCCTGAGCAGGAAACCCATGATACTCTTATCTTCATTAATTGGTAAGAGCTTAATTCACCAAAATAGCCAGAAGTGAAGCTGTGTCTCAAGTGGTAGAGTGCTAGCCTTGAGCAAAAAAGACGAAAATGATATGCCCTTCAGTTTTAAAAATCATTTTATTGTATAGTATAAAGAAAATGGTGGCCAGGCACTGGTGGCTCACACCTTTAATCTTAGCTACTCAGGAGGCTGAGATCTGAGGATCATGATTCAAAGCCAGCCTGGGCAGGAAAGTCCATGAGACTCTTATCTCCAATAAACCACCAGAAAACTGGAAGTGGCGCTGTAGCTTAAGTGGTAGAGCGCTAGCCTTGAGCTGAAGAGCTGAGGGACAGTGTTCAGGCCCAGAGTTCAAGGCCTATGACCGACCAAAAAAAAAAAAAAGAAAGAAAATGGTGTTAGTTGAGCATATGGACAGCATAGAAGTACTTCGTATGTGATATTTAAAAAAGAGAGTGATCATAAAGACATAATCATATATTTCAGTTTGAGTATTAATACTTTCCAACTAACATACTATAGCATATATATAAAAAAATTGAAGGACTTGTCTTATTAGAGAGAAAATTATTGGTAAACTCTCAGATGTGCATTTTTAGCTCAGTATCCCTAGCACCAAAAATGAATAAAGTTAGACTATCATAGTTCCCAAAGTACATTAGCTGTATATAATTCAATAAAACTTATCAGATGTTCCCAAATGGTGATCATCAAGAAGATGATTGTTGACCAGTTAGAGCAGCTGGGCCTAGCCTGGTGATCTATATCCTTGAGCTGTCAGTGCAACCCAGTTCTACCTTACTCATATCCCGTTTATGTCACAGCGCAGAAAGTCTGGAAACACCAATATGTGTGTGTAAAGAACAGGAATTCTAGGTAGCCCAGAATTTTAAAAGCAATATCTGCTATTTCACAAAATATTTTCAAGTTTCATAGAAAATATAAAGCTTTTAAAGAGGGAGACTAATGCATTGTACTCATAAACTGACATGCTGAATAGAGCCTCTTTGTACAACTACTTAAATAAAAAATTTCAGTAAAAGAACTGTAGAGCTGTCTTAAGATAGACAATAATCTCTGATTATCGTAGCAGAAAAAGGTAGGTTAAAAATAAAACTAAGCCAGGTACTGGTGGCTCATGTCTATAGCCCTAGCTACTCGGGAAGCTGAGATCTGAAGATCGTGGTTCAAAGCCAACCCAGGCAGAAAAGATCATGAGACTTTTATCTCCAGTTAATCAAAAAAGCCAGAAATGGAGCTGTGGTTCAAGTGGTAGAACACTATCCTTAAGCACAAAAGCTCAAGGACAGTACCTATGCCCAAGCCCCAGGACCTGCAAAATAAACAAATTTAGATACACTCTAAAATGTGGTGTTTCTATATGAATCTGGAAATCACACTTCAAAGTCTACACTGAAAATTAATGCAACAACTCATTGTCATTTGAAAAAATATATTGATCATTTCTTAGACTTCTATAATATTTACATCAAATTTATCAAACAATATAGTGATGCTAGGTTACAAATATAATGAAACTTCTTCATACTCCTCAGCATGAATTGATGGACCGTCAGAACTTTGTAAAAAATCAAACAAATTATGGCTGGGTCTTCTTGGCTTACCCCTATAATCTTAGCTGCTAAGGAGACTCAGATCTGCAGATATATCAATTCAGAGACAGCCTAAAGACAGAAGAATATACAAGACTCTTATCTCCAGTTAACCACAAAAAGCCACAAGTGGAACTGTGGCTCAATTGGTAGAGTGCTACCTTGAGCAAAAAACTAAGCAAGAGCATAAGGCCCTGAGTTCATCTTCAGTATGAGCACATTCACACAGAGATTATATGTGTTAATATTGTAAATACTTTAATACCATGCTGAACTCCTGATTCTGATATGAACTTACTGACACAAATGAGTAATGAGATACAAACCAGACCCTTAGTCCTTGAGTATTTCTTTTAGCAATTTCTCAGCCTTTGTTATTTCAATATTTTCAAAGCACCATTCGTTATTAACCTTTAGGATTGGCTATGCAAAGGAATTTTCTGAGAAAACTGATTTTTCTTTCATCTAGATTTTCCAAGAAATATTAAAAGTTTAAAAAGTAGATGAGGGGCTGGGAAGGTGGCTCAGTGGTAGAGCGCTTGCCTTGCATGCCTGAGGCCCTGGGTTCGATTCCTCAGCACCACATAAGCAAAAAGAAAAAAGCTGGAAGTGGAGCTGTGGCTCAAGTGGTAGAGCGCTAGCCTTGAGCTGAAGAGCTGAGGGACAGTGCCCAGGCCCAGAGTTCAGGCCCCACAACTGGACCCCCCCAAAAAAAAATAATATAAAAATAAAATAAAATAAAAAGTAGATGAAAAACAAGAGTAGATGAACTTGAGGTATGACTTCATAGTAAAATGCCTGCCTAGCAAGCAAAATGCCCTGAATTCAAACTGCAGTACTACCAAAGAAATGAAGGAGAAATGGATTATTAATTATGGAAAGGGTGACATTGATCAAGATGCACTGTGCACATAAATTGGCACACTGAATTGGAAACTATTTGTACAATGATAACCTAGGAATTTTTATATGACATATAAAAATATCAGTATCTAATATGAAGTGATGTTGATATTTTATTTCTCCTTTAACTACTCTCTTCAATGGATAGATACTATCTTCAATTTAATTATAGGATTTTTAATTTAATTATGATACACATGTTCCCTTTTTCTTCAAGCTACTAATAGTAAGTGGATCCAGGAACATCCAGAATCTGCATATAATCTTGTGAACTCACCACACTTAAAACCTGCCTGGGTTTTAGATAGAGCCCTTTGGCATTTCTCCTGTGATGTTGCAGAAGGGAAATACAGAGAAAAAGGAGTCCCTGCTTTGATTGAAAATGACCAACACATGAATGTAAGTATGTCTAGAGTGCACCAATTCAGAAAAACATTTCTAAAGTATACGTTAAATATATGGTTGCAATAGTATTCAATGAAAACATTTTACATATATATTTTAATATTGACATCTTTCAGTGCATTCGGCAAATAATGTGGGAGGACATTTTTCCAAAGATTCAACTCTGGGAATTTTTCCAAGTAGATGTGTGCAAATTAGTGGAGCAATTTAGAAGACTTCTCACACAAGGTAAAGGATATATATACACCCAGTCATCCCTAATCATCCGTTCAAAGTAAAAGCTACATTGGAGTTTCCCTGTTGATCTTAACATGGGGAGGGTAGATACAAAAGATGCCTCTGGAGTAGTTTATTTTGTTTCTTAAGAACTAAATTGTATGCTAAAGTTTTTTTTTTTTTGTCGGTCGTGGGGCTTGAACTCTGGGCATGGGCGCTGTCCCTCAGCTCCTCAGCTCTTCAGCTCAAGGCGAGCGCTCTACCACTTGAGCTACAGCATCACTTCCGGTTTTCTGGTGGTTTATTGGAGATAGGAGTCTCACGGTCTCTCCTGCCCAGGCTGGCTTTGAACCGCGATCCTCAGATCTCAGCCTCCTGAGTAGCTAGGATTACAGGCATGAGCCACCAGCGCCTGGCTTTATGCTAAAGTTTTAGATTAGAGTCTCCCTGTGAATATTTGCATTTAAGATATCATCTCTTCTATCTGGGCATGATGGCATGTATATTTCCTGTCTCTCTCTTGCTTTCTCTCTCTCTTCCAGAAAATAGGAGAGTAACCAAGTCTGATCCAGGGCAACATCTTAAGATTATTCAGGATCCTGAATACAGACGGTTTGGCTGCACAGTAGATATGAACATTGCACTGACAACTTTCATACCACATGGGTATGTTATAATCTTATCCTGTGAAATAAAGAATAATCTTAGGCAGGTGCCTCATGCCTGTAATCCTAGCTACTCAGGAGGCTGAGATCTGAGGATCATGGTTCAAAGCCAGCTTGGGCAGGAACATCTGTGAGATTCTTATATCCAGTTAACCACCAGAAAACCAGAAGTGGTGCTGTGGCTCATGTGGTAGAGCACTAGCCTCCAGCTGAAGAGCTCAGGAACACTGCCCAGGACCAGAGTTCAAGCCCCACAACCAACCAAAAAATCATAATAATCTTATTATAAACTTTTATGACTAGTAGGATTTTTATACTATTCATTAAAGCCCTCCATCTAAAGTAGAATAAAGTAATGCACTGTATTTCTACTATTTGACCACCCGACGTTTTCCTGGTTTTTCTGTGCACCAGTCCACCTTCCTATGTAGATATATAAACATTTTTACAATTCGAAAAGTTATTCAGTCATAATTAAGATCAATATAATTAGGGCTTCTATGACTCTCACTAGAAAACTTTTGAATGAAGGTTGTTTGAAACCACTCATTGAGCTTGTATTGTGCTGTCTGCACTAGCAATGGGCCAGCTGCAATTGAAGAGTGCTGTAACTGGTTCCGAAAGAGAATTGAGGACTTGAATTCAGAGAAGCGTCACCTCATCAACTCTCACCAGGAACAGGTTTTACCTATTTTTAAATTTTTCTTATTTTTGAATTACTGATTTGCCTTTTGTTTAAGTCTGTGTGCTGCTGTTGATGATGACTATGTAACACAATTTAACGTGTTTTTTTTTTCAGGCAGTCAATTGCCTTCTGGGAAATGTATATTATGAACGATTAGCTGGCCATGGTCCTAAACTAGGACCAGTCACTAGAAAGTACCCTTTAGTTACCAGGTATTCCATTTCAGTTTTCTTCTTGTTGATAGTTAAAAATGGAAAACCATATTTAATTTTCTAAATTAACCATAACATCTTCCTTAGTGCTGTGATTTAAAGACATTTCTGAAATTAAAATAGAAGTTTTGTGTCAGAAGTAGAGTTACTATTAATTTTGTTAGGAAAATGTTTAGTTAGAAAAACTAACATCAGCATAGACAAGTTATACTTTTATTATTTCTGTTAATGTGTATAGAGACTAAATAGTATCTTGGTCTATTTTCTGTTATTAAAATAGAATCCTGGGTAATTTTTAAAGAAATAAAGTTTAATTTGATTTAGGGTTTTAGAGACTGAGAATACTTAAGATCATAATACCAAAATCTGCTCAGCTTCTAGACAGAGCCTCATGTTTCCAAAGTACATGGCTGAAAGTAGAAGGGCATATGGAAGAGAGAAATCACCAGGGCAGCCTTACTTCCTAAAGACTCACTGTTATGATAACTAATTCAGCCCTTTGAGAGCAAGAACTCATTCACAGAACAGAGATGTTAGTTCCTTTGTGAGAGCTCTGTCCCCAGAACCCAAGTAACTACTCTGATGCCCCACCATGTTTAGGACTTAAGGTTCCAAGCTAGGCATGAGGGCACACACTTGTAATCCCAGCACTCAGGAGGCTTACGCAAGAAGATTGAGAGTTTGAAACAGCCTAGCTACATAGTGAAACCTTGCCTTACAAAAAGAAAATCCAAAAACTATACACACACACACACACAGGAATTATGGTTCCAACACATGAGCTTTTGGAGGACATATTCAAACTATACCACTCGTAAATTCCCTGTTAATGGAATTGAACAAGTATATAGGTCTTTACATTAATGCAAACATGTAGCATAGGGTGGGTGTTAGAGGGTAAACAGGCTTTCACAAAGCAATACCCGTTCTCCTTTCTTATCATTTCTTGAGGTTTCAAAAATTATTTACAGTGTTATTCTTGCATGCTACAATATTCTCCATTCTTCAAATCCTACTAGATTTACTGAAAAAGTCTATTGATGATCTTGCACATATATTATAAATACTAGCAAACTACTTGATTGTACGCATTGGGGAAGAAGTGTAATTTTTTTTTAATATTGCTAATTAAAATTCTCTCCAAGGACTCTGTGTGGATTTAAATTTAATTCTTTCTCTCTAGGTACTTTACTTTCCCATTTGGAGAAATGGCCTTATCAGCAGAAGAATCTATGATCCACCTCCCAAACCAAGCTTGTTTCCTGATGGCACACAATGGATGGGTAATGGGAGATGATCCTCTTCGAAACTTTGCTGAACCAGGTGCATCATTTTGACTTCTCTGTGGACAGGGAAAGAAGACATCATGGAAAGCTCACAATATAATCAGCTCCCTTGGTTTATTATCCCCTCACTAGACTCATGATTTTTAAGCTCTTTCACCAGAGATATCAGAGATGCATCAGTTTAAGAGAAAAGAGAAGGTATTGACAAAAAGGATAGGATTTATCTCCTTTCTTCTTTGTCTTCCTACCTCTCATTTTCTCAAACTGAATGGTGTGTGTGTGTGTGTGTGTGTGTTGGGCTTTGGGCTAGGATCAGAGCCTCAGTATTGTTTCCCTGTGCTTTTTTTTTTTTTGGGGGGGTGGGGGGGCCTGTCATGGGGCCTGAACTCTGGACCTGGGCGCTGTCCCTCAGCTCTTCAGCTGAAGGCTAGCGCTCTACCACTTGAGCCACAGCACCACTTCCGACTCTTTTCTTTTTGCTTATGTGGTGCTAAGGAATCAAACTCAGGGCCTCATGCATGCAAGGCAAATGCTCTACCACTGAGCCACCTTCCCAGCCTTCCCTGCGCTTTTTTGCACAAATGTAGCACAGCAGTCTACGACTTGAACTACAGCTCTACTTCTAGTTTTGTTTTGTTTTTTTTGCTAGTTAATTGGAGATAAGAGTCTCCTGAACTTTGCTGCCTAGGCTGACTTCAGACTGTGGTCTTCAGATCTTAGCCTCTTTTTTTTTTTTTTTTTGCCAGTCCTGAGGCTTGAACTCAGGACCTGGGCACTGTCCCTGAGTTGCTTTTTGCTCAAGGCTGGAGCATGATCACTTGAGCCACAGCACCACTTCTGGCTTTTTCTGTTTATGTGGTACTAATGAATTAAACCCAGGGCTTCATGCATGCTAGGCAAGCACTCTACCACTAAGCCACAGTCCCAGCACAGATGTTAACCTCTTTAGTAGCTTGGATTACAGGCATGAGCCACTAGTGCCCAGCTACTAAATAGGTTTTCTGTTGTTTTTTGTTTTTGTTTTTGTCGGTTGTGGTGCTTGAACTCTGGGCCTGGGCACTGTCCCTCAGCTCCTCAGCTCAAGGCTAGCACTCTACCACTTGAGCCACAGCCACTTCCAGTTTTTCTGGTGGTTTATTGGAGATAAGAGTTTCATGGCTTTTCCTGCCTGGGCTGGCTGTTAACCTTGATCCTCAGATCTCAACCTTCTGAGTAGCTAGAATTAGAGGCATGAGCCACCTGTGCCCAGCTGAATAGCTTTTATATATCTATTTATATGTCTATCTTATGTGTCATAGGAGTGAGATTTCAAGGCCAGCCTGGGTTAGACTCAGGGTTAGACCCAGGGCAAAACTGTTTCAAAAAACAAAGTGTGTGTGTGTTTGTGTGTGTGTTTATATTCTTTAAAGTTTTTATATATACTGTTATTTCTATATTTCTATTACCATTTTTCCTTAAGAAACAACTTGGATTTTTGAAACTAAACCCATGTTTCTAGAAGAGACTATACTAGAATTTTTGCAGAATACGCATGAGATTTAAGTTAATATTAATTTTTTGAAACTTTATCTCCCATCTTAGCATTTTTTTATTTTGTTCTTCAGGATTGAACCAGGTCTTCACACATACATGACAAATACTCTGCCCCTGAGCTATATCCTCATCCCCATTTTAGATAAAATTATAACCAATATGTCATTGTGGTTTAAAAAAATGCAATTTAAAAATTGTTTCCTGGGCTGGGAAGGTGGCTCAGTGGTAGAGAGCTTGCCTTGCATGCATGAGGCCCTGGGTTCGATTCCTCAGCACCGCAGAAAAAATAAAAAAGCTGGAAGTGGCGCTGTGGCTCAAGTGGTAGAGTGCTAGCCTTGAGCTGAAGAGCTGAGGGACAGTGCCTAGGCCCAGAGTTCAGGCCCCATGATGGGACCCAAAAAAAACCAAAAATTGTTTCCTTAGTGTAATTATTTTCATTTTTTGTTCTTGAACCATTGAAAGCAAGATTCTTTTAACAGGTTCAAACGTGTATTTAAGGAGAGAGCTTATTTGCTGGGGAGACAGTGTTAAATTACGCTATGGGAGTAAACCAGAAGACTGCCCCTACCTCTGGGCACACATGAGAAAATACACGGAAATAACTGCGACTTATTTCCAGGGAGTACGTCTGGACAACTGCCACTCAACACCTCTCCACGTGGCTGAGGTACAGAAGCACAATTCACAGTTCATCTCCATTCAGAATCGACACTCAGTATCCTATCCTTAAATAGACTTTGTAGCTGGGCACTGGTGGCTCACACCCGTAACATTAGCTACTCATTAGGCTGAGATCTGAGGATCACGGTTCATAGCCAGCTCAGGCAGAAAAGTCGGTGAGACTCTTATCTCCAATTAACCACTAGAAAAATCAGAAGTGGCTCTGTGGCTCAAAAGGTAGAATGGTAGCCTTGAGCTGAAGAGCTGAAGGTCAGCATCCAGGCAGAGTTCAAGACCCACAACCGACAACAACAACAACAAAAATAGACTTTGTAGATACCTGTTTCACTGTGTTAGCTACATTGATTTGGTGGTAATATTTAAACATTGCATAATTTACCTAACTAGCGATCTTTTGATGAAGTTTTTTTTTGTTGTTTGATGAAGTTTTTTGTTAGTGTTGTTGCTTTAATTTTTTTTTTTGTGTGTCGGTCATGGGGCTTGAACTCTGGGCCTGGGCACTGTCCCTCAGCTCTTCAGCTCAAAGCGAGCGCTCTACCACTTGAGCTACAGCGCCACTTCCGGTTTTCTGGTGGTTTATTGGAGATAGGAGTCTCACGGTCTCTCCTGCCCGGGCTGGCTTTGAACCGCGATCCTCAGATTTCAGCCTCCTGAGTAGCTAGGATTATAGGCGTGAGCCACCAGCCCCCGGCTTGCTTTAATTTTTTGTGTGTGGTACTAGAGATCAACCCCAGAGCCTTTCATATGGTTTTTTGTGTTTTTTTTTTTTTTTTTTTTTGTCGTTCGTGGGGCTTGAACTCTGAACCTGAGCACTGTCCCTGCACTCTTCAGCTCAAGGCGAGTGCTCTACCGCTTGAGCCACAGCGCCACTTCTGGTTTTCGAGTGGTTTATTAGAGATAAGAGTGTCACGAACTTTCCTACCCGGGCTGGCTTTGAACTGTGATCCTCAGATCTCAGCCTCCTGAGTAGCTAGGATTACAGGTGTGAGCCACCAGTGCCTGGCAAGCCTTTCATATGTTAGGCAAATGCTCTACTATTGAACTGTACCCCTATTCCTCAGTGATTATTTAGAATTGACATTGTGGCATTTGAAGTTAATTTTAGCTGCATTGATTCAATTTCTTATCAATTATTCATAAAAACAAAAGCATAAACATAATTGTTGTCTATTCATTTGGAGGATTTTTAAGCAACTTTTTAACAATGCCAGTATTTATAATACTATATTCTACCTAATACAAGTTTGCAAATGAACACACTTTTCAACCTCCTTATAAGATCTATAGTAGCTTCCTACTCATAGATGATCTTTGAAAATACGTGCTTGTCTGAAAATATCTACGCTTATACTTTGAGGACAGTATTACATCTATTTCTAGCTTGGTGATAAAAAAAAAAATCTAGTCTTTTAATTTGGAATGATTTAGTAATAAATGTTAGTTAAGCTGCTTTAGCTGTAAAAAGTGTTGGAGGGTCTTTGTTATTGTTGTTGTTTTTGGTGTGTCAGTCCTGGGGCTTGAACTTAGGGCCTAGGTGTTATTCCTGAACTTTGTGCTTAAGGCTGATGCAAACACTTAAACCACAGCTCCACTTCCAGCTTTTTGGTATTATTTGGAGATAAGAGTCTCTTGGGCTTTCCTGCCCAGGCTGGCTTTGAACCTCCATCCTCAGAACTCAGCCACTGAGTACCTAGGATTACAGGCATGAGCCACTGGCACCTGCCTGAAGTGTGTTTTTTAAATATTCCTTTAACAACAGAAAAAAAAAAACCCTAAAAATATACTTGTAACATTGTTATAATATTATGAGAAAAAAATGGAGGTTAAAATTAATGCCCCTCATTTGGTATTACAAAACCCTGTAGGATTGTATTTTTTTACCTGATAGAATCTCAAATATTTTTTATTTACCTTTGTGCAGATGTTACACAAAAAAGAAAAAAAAATCAGAACCAATCTGATTTCCTATTATAAGCCAGCATATTGTGATTCTCAGCTTGAAAGTTAGCACCAATGTGAAAACTGTAAAGTGTTAAGAGTTTAGTACTGGTTTTAGTTTGGCCATTCAGAGCATAGCTTTATAGTACCTACCAGTTAAACTTAGTCAACCACCAGGAAACTGACAGTCTTAAGAAAGGCATTAAAAAAATACACACAGTTTACATTTTTTATCGACACTAACATTTTTTTCTTCTTCCCTTTTCCCCCTTGTGTCCCTATCTATGTCTTTACAAAATCTAATCTTTCCTTTTTTTTTACTGTACTGTAAACATTTTCATATTACCTATGCATTCTGGTCTGTTGGTGTTTTCTTACATGCGTACAAAATCTATTTGGAAATTATTTCTGAATTTCTGTTTTGTCTAACCACATAATCTGTGTCAAATCCACACCTAGCCGTGCCTCCTTCCTCTCTGTCCACCTTGCCCTCCTTTCTCTTTTACATATGCAACTGTACTTTTTGCAGTACATGTTGGATGCTGCTAGGAAACTGCAACCCAATTTATATGTCGTGGCTGAACTGTTCACGGGAAGTGAAGAGGTGGACAATATCTTTGTGACTAGACTTGGCATTAGCTCCTTGATAAGAGGTAAGGTTGGTGAAGTCCACTTCCTGTCTAAAACTTTAGCTTTTCTTTAAGTAGATGAAAAGTTATATAATACCTTTAAAATTTTTAACACAGCTAAAAGTCTATTAAATTGTTTATATGTTTTCTTATATAACTCAATATATTTCTTTAATTTTAATCATTTTAAAAATTTTCTTTTAAATAGTTGTACAAAGGAGTTTCAGTTCAACATGTCAATTTATGTGGACCATGCATCTTGATCAGTGTGTCTATTATTCTCCTTTCCCAAGCTCAGCCAATTTTTGTCAGTAAAATTCTGCTTTTTGTTGATACTAATTTCAAATAGAAAGATAAGTAGAACCGTGGCTTAAATGTTAGAGTGCAAGTGTTGAGTGAAAAAGCTAAGAAACAGTGTCCAGGCCCCAAGTTCAAGCCCTATTACCAAGAAAGAAAGAAGGAAGTGAAGGAAGGAGAATCAAGAAAAAAAAGGAAAGGAATGGAAAGGAAGGAAGGAAGGAAGGAGGAAGGAAGGAAAAAAAAAAGAATTTACTAAGATTGGAAGACCAGAGGGACAGCAGTACAAGTTCAAGGCCAGCACCAGCTACACAAGATCCTTTCTCAAAAAATAAAAATCCAGTGGAGTAAATTGATAGTTCACAAACAAAACTGCATTTTTATAGAAAATATACAAATCTGTTTTTCATCTCCTAACTAGATTTTATGTTTTTCTCTCATTGATTTGATACAAATCATGTAAAAATGCGTAAGTGAAACTACTGTTACCATTTTTTCTTTTTCTCCCTCTCTTTTCTCTTGGTAGTACTGAGGTTTGAACTCAGGGCCTGTCACTTGAAAGGCTGGCAAAATACCACTGAGCCATGCCTCCCTCCATCCCCTGTTCTTTTTTCTACGAGAGCTATTTTTCCAGTTATTAGAAGACTTCTTAGGATTTGTAAACATTTAGTTGCCTATTTGTGATAATGTTGATGAGGTTTGTATTTTAAAAATCAGTCGTGATAAGAAATGCAACCTCTCCTTGGACACAAGTAATACTGATTGTTAAAATTTTCTGTATTGCTTGACAGAGGCAATGAGCGCATACAACAGTCATGAAGAAGGCAGGCTGGTTTACCGATATGGAGGAGAGCCTGTAGGATCCTTTGTTCAGCCCTGTCTGAGGCCTTTGATGCCAGCTATCGCCCATGCCCTGTTTATGGATATTACCCATGATAACGAATGTCCTATTGTGGTAAGCACCAGTCCTTTTCACAGATTCATGACATTTAGTTATGCTTAGTATCTATAATACCCACATACTCCAAAAAGTAGTAGCTTAGGCTTAAAAGTGATTGTACTATATGGTTTTTAGGATGTTTTGTGGTATGTTTTAAATAAACGTTTGTAATAGAGTATGTTTAAGCTGGGCATCAGTGGTTCACACTTGTGGTTCACACCTGTAATTCTGGATACTCAGGAGGCTTAGCTCTCTGAGGGTCACTGTCCAAAGCCACCCAGAGCAAGAAAGTACATGAGACCCATCCTTAATTAACCAACAAAAGAACCACAAGTGGTAATGTCCCTCAAGTGGTAGAGTGCTAGCCCTGAGGAAAAATACTAAGACTGCCTAGGCCTTGAATTCAAACCCCAGTTCTGGGGCGCGCGCGCGCACACACACACACACACACACACACACAATGTATTTATGTTATTATCCTTTTCATTATGCTATATACTAGCACTTTGCATATGAAAGAAAGTAAACTTTTGCTTTCTTCTCATTTTCTAGCATAGATCTGCCTATGATGCTCTCCCGAGTACCACTATTGTTTCTATGGCATGCTGCGCTAGTGGAAGCACTCGAGGCTATGATGAGCTAGTGCCTCACCAGGTTGGTTCACCGGCTGTTCCTTACCAGCCACATGACTACCAACTTTGATCACTTTCATCCAAAGTTCTCATTGTAACTGTAATGTATACATGATCAAGTTGTACCTTTCTTTAGATTTCAGTGGTTTCTGAAGAAAGATTTTATACTTCTTGGAATCCTGGAGCCTCGCCATCCAATACAAGTGATGTCAATTTCCAGAGTGGAATTATTGCAGCCAGGTGTGCTGTCAATAAACTTCATCAAGAGCTTGGGGCCAAAGGTTTCATTCAGGCAAGAAACTTAAGTTTTCTGCATTTCTTTCTGAAGGACCACCAGCTTCCAGGTGGAGTGTTAACCTCCTTGCTCTTTCCATTTCTCAGGTGTATGTCGATCAGGTTGATGAAGACATAGTGGCAGTCACGAGACACTCGCCCAGTACCCACCAGTCGGTTGTGGCTGTATCCAGAACTGCGTTCAGGAATCCCAAAACTTCCTTTTACAGCAAGGAAGTGCCTCAAATGTGTATCCCTGGTAATGTAACCTGAGAACTGTTATCATTACATTCAACTGTATTCAAATGTTTCATGCCATTGTCTTTATATGCCATGTGTAGTGCAAGACAAACATAAATGCTATTGAGAAAAGGAATTAGAATCTTGGCTTGTATTTTGCCTGTGTATGCCAGTCCTGGGGCTTGAACTCAGGCCTCACACTCTCACTTGGCTTTTTGATTCAGGGTTGCTGCTCTACCACTTGACTCACAGATCCACCTCCATATTTGTGGTAGTTAATTGGGGATAAGCTGGCATTGAACCATGATTCTCAGATCTCAGCATCCTTAGTACCTAGGGTTACAGGTGGAGCCACAAGTGCCACACTTATATAACATGTTTTTCTGTGTGAATCAAACTCTGGACAGAAATATCCTCAAATGTTAATTAAGCTTTTGAGTTGTGAAATATTCTTGTTTATATCTTACATATTCTGTTTTTTTCCTAATACATATATAATGGACATTTGTCTCACATCCTGGACAATCTATTTGTATATTGTGTGTGTATATATGATGATGATGTGTATATGTTTACATATGTTTGTATATTTATACACATTACACATGTATGTATTCATATATATATAATTATATATTGTGAAAGCAAAATTTAAGTATATGTATACATATAAAATGGAAACTATCTTAATTTTTAAGCCTCTTCATAAAAATTCATCTTCACCTACCATTCTAGCCCCATATCATACCACTATTTTAGCCACATAAATATTTTTACTGGTCTTTAAATAGTCTTACTCTACCAGTACATGAATTGTTTATATTCTTTTTTTTTTTTTTTGGTTCAGTTGTGAGACTTGAACTCAGGACCTGGGTGCCGTTCTTTATCCTCTTTGTGCTCAAGGCTAGCACTCTACCACTTGAGCCACAGCACCATTTCACTTCTGGTTTTTGAGTGGTTCTTTGGAGATAAGAGTCTCACAGAGACTTTCCTGCCTGGCTTCAAACCATGATCCTCAGATCTCAGCCTCCTTAGTAGCTAGGATTACAGACATGGGTCACCAAGGCCCAGCTGTTTATATTCTTTAAGAACTGAAGTTCTGCCTCTTTTGAATAATCACTGTTGGGCTGGGAAGGTGGCTCAGTGGTAGAGCGCTTGCCTTGCATGCCTGAGGCCCTGGGTTCGATTCCTCAGCACCACATAAGCAAAAAGAAAAAAGCCAGAAGTGGTGCTATGGCTCAAGTGGTAGAGCGCTACCCTTGAGCTGAAGAGCTGAGGGACAGCGCCCAGGCCCAGAGTTCAGGCCCCACAACCGGACCCAAAAAAAAAAAAAAAATTGAATAATCACTGTCTCCCCTAAACATATAACAGTTATAAAACAAGTCCCCAAGACTCTCTTTTTTATTGAGTGGCTTAGTTCTAGATATATTCTATTTGGTGTTACAGATGGTGTTTTATAGCATAGCATGGTTCTGTGCAAGCATCAACCACTAACCAGTTCATTGAGAGAATGAAGAGTCCCGTAAAAATAATAACATTCTGTTATGTATTGCTAGTTTCTAAATATGCATATAACTCCAATTTGGAAAAATGGTCAACCTGAAATGTTTTGGGTTTAAATGATCATCATTTTCCTTGATTATACCTAAATTTCTATTCAGTAATCTGTCTGGTTCATAGTGTTCATGTTAGTTTTCTGTAGTTGTTTGTATTTTTCATGTTGGGGATTGAACCTAGGACCTCATGTGCTTGGCATACAGTCTGCCACTGACCTGTACTCCCAGCTCCCCCACTTAGTTTCTTTATCTAGAACTCAGTCACTGTACAGTGTTAGTGCAACCTTTCTTTGGGTCATTGATGGTTCTCAAAACATTTCCCTTTGGGCTGGGAAGTTGGCTCAATGGTAGAGCGCTTGCCTTGCATTCCTGAGGCCCTGGGTTCGATTCCTCAGTACCACATAAGCAAAAAGAAAAAAGCCGCAAGTGGCGCTGTGGCTCAAGTGGTAGAGCGCTAGCCTTGAGCTGAAGAGCTGAGGGACAGCGCCCAGGTCCAGAGTTCAGGCCCCATAACTGGACCCAAAAAAAAAAAAAAAAAATTTCCCTTTGTCAGCTACAAAACTGATTTTTCACTGTCTCATGTGCTGTTACACTAGTATTTAATTTTTAATATTATGGTTAATACTGTTTCTATTTAATTTTTAGTGTATCTTAAGAATGATATTTCATTAAGAATTTTATGCATTACTAGGCAAAATTGAAGAGGTAGTTCTTGAAGCTAGAACTATTGAGAGAAGCACAAATCCTTATAGGAAGGATGAGAAGTCAATCAATGGATTGCCAAATATCACAGTAGAAATTAAAGAACATATTCAGGTATTGGGATGCACTTATTTCTATTCTGTTTAATATTTTAAGGACATTAAAATTATTTGTTGAATGAATTGTTTTAAATAATTTTTCCAAGCTGAATGAAAGTAAAATTGTTAAACAAGCTGGAGTTGGTACAAAAGGACCCAATGAATATATTCAAGAAATAGAATTTGAAAATTTATCTCCAGGAAGTGTTATTATATTCAGGTATGTTCATTAGAGTACACACTGTTGACCTTACTTATATTTAAAATAGTTTTTATAGCCTGTTCATTTTGAGTACGTTGCTCCTAAAAATTAACTTTTTTTTATTCACATTATTCAGAGTTAGCCTTGATCCACATGCCCAAGTTGCTGTTGGAATTCTTCGAAATCATCTGACACAGTTCAGTCCTCACTTTAAATCTGGGAGCCTGGCTGTTGACAACTCAGATCCTATACTAAAAATCCCTTTTTCTTCGTAAGTGTACCTTATTCTGTAGAGATTTATTGTGTTAGTGACTGGCCTGACTTAACTGATTTTAAATAGCCTCCATAGCCTTGCTGCTTACTCAGTGGATGGTCCAAGGATCAGCAGTGTCAGCACCCGCTGCTGGGGACATTTGTTTACTATTGCTTTCTCATTTGTGCCCATGTGTGCTTTGTCATGTTATATTCATGTAGATACACACACACACACGTATGCACTTCATTTTTCTGACCTAGGTTTTCTCCTTTTGTTTTTGTGTATAAAACAGGTAAAACTTCAGTATTTACTCAATTGTCTTTATGTTCTAATTCTTAGTATTGCCTCTAAATTAACCTTGGCTGAGCTAAACCAGATACTTTATCGATGTGAGTCAGAAGAACAAGAAGATGGTGGAGGCTGTTACGATATACCAAACTGGTCATCGCTTAAGTATGCAGGCCTCCAAGGTAAGCTGTTATAAAGTGGTTAAACAAGTTAAGTGTCTTCTTTATAGAAGTAAGAGTATGAGCTTAGAGCATAACACCTGGGTTTACAGTATGACTTTGCCCCTTATTCATTGTCTTTTGGAACATAACACCTCTAAAGCCCAATTTCTGCTTCAACAAAATGTGCCTAATAGCTGGGTGGGTTGGTACACATCTATGATCTCAGCACACAGGAGGCCAAGGTAGGAAGAGGCCACACTGATCTACATACCAAGACGCTGTCTCAAAAAAGAGTAATAATAAAATTGAATAATATTACGTAAATAGAAGACTATATGAGGATTAAATGAGATCATTCACATAAAACACTAAAAACAGGATTTGGCACAAAGTACTCAGTAATAAGTATTAACCTAGAATTGTGGTTTCTGTGTCTTTCCTTCAGGTCATTTATGCTTCTTAAATATATATTAATCTTGATTAATATTTCTTGACTTGGTTTATCCTGTAATCAAATACAGAACTTGCCCAGTAGAACTCCAAATGGGAATGGGTTGTAAATATAACACATTTTTCTTTTTTATCTGATTGGAATTTTTTATTACATGTTTGATTCATACTCTAAAGAGAATGGATAGCAAAATATTATGTATTTAGTAAGATGGGCTAATTAACTAAGTATTTGCTATCAGTTTAATCCGGCTGGTTGTTATGATTTTCTTATTTTCCATAGAACCTGTATTCTTGGTTCTGTGCTTTCCCAGTGCCTCCTTTTCATAATAATGTCCTTATTCTCCCACTGGTACCTAGTTCACTTCTGTGCTACTATAACCTTACTTGCCCTGAGAATATGGTCCCTTATTTGAGGAATTAATTTGTGTGTGTGTGTGTGTGTGAGAGAGAGAGAGAGAGAGAAAGAGAGAGAGAGTGGGGGGGGTGCGTGTGTTAAGAAATAGGTGTTACCACCAGACTCGTTGGGTTACACTGACTAGCTGAAGAACCATGGAGTAGAGAGTTAGATTCTGCATGTCAGTGTTTCTTCTGGAAAGTGGAGATAGTGTAAATGCCTGCAGTGGGGTCTATGCATAGGTTTAGAGTTAATTCTTGTAAATTAGGCTTAGTTCAAGGTAAGGACTTGGAAAGCCTTCGATATAAAATTCCACTGCACAGATTGTTCCTTGAGAAAGTAGAGTGTATGTTTGTTTCTTTACGTACTTATGTTTTTATGATACCAGAGTTTGCTAGGGGGGTCCTCTACTCCTTCAGTGACATGTCTCCTCCTCGCCCCAGTCTTACTTTACTTAATTTTCTGATAGTATCTCACACTTTTTTTTGCTCTGGTCAGCCTGGGCTGTGATCCACCTACATAGCTAAGATGACAGGCTAGAACCATCACACCCAGCTTTTTATTGAGATGAATTTTCATGGTCTTATTATCCAGGCTGGATTTGAACCACAGTCTTCCAAGTCTCTGTCTCCTGGGTAACTGGAATTGCACATGACTTTCCATACCCAGCAGATTTATCTTTTCCATTATTGTTATTGCTATTTTCTGTAGCTTTTATCCCTCTTAGAAAACCAAGCACATACAAAACAGGAGTGAACTTTTCTGAGACTTTTTATACTTAGGAAATTTTGGATTTTATTCCTAAAAATATTCTTGTTGTAATGCAAAATACTTTGTGCATGAGTTATAAAGAAGCATCTATGTTACAAGTTTTAATCAAATATTTTACTATGCTTTTGCTCTAAACTATTGAACTCCTACTACTTGATTTACTATATCACACTTTTGTAATACCTTTTTTTAATTGATTTTTGTCTTATAAAGTGACCATGCTTACCTTTTCTAAATACAATTACTCTCATCTTATTTGCTTCTTACTTTACAAGCAATCCCTCTTCCATCTAATAGTTGTTATTGTTGATGATTTTGTACTGGTACTGGGGCTTTAACTCAGGGCTTAGCACTTTCTCAGCTTTTTTTTTTTTTTGGTCAGTCATGGGGCTTGAACTCTGGTCCTGGGTGCTGTCCCTGCACTCTTCGGCTTAAGGCGAGCACTCTGCTGTTTGAGCCATGTGCCACTTCCGGTTTTCTAATGCTTTTATTGGAGATAAGAGTCTCACAGACTTTCCTGCCTGGGCTGGCTTTGAACCGCAGTCCTCAGATCTCAGCCTCCTGAGTAGCTAGGATGATAGGCATGAGCCACCAGCACCAGGCTCTCTTAGCTTTTTTGCTTAGGGCTGATATTATACTACTTGAGGAACTTCAGCTTTTTACTCCATAATTGAAGATGAGTCTATGGATTTGTCTGCCTGGGCTAACTTTGAACCTCAATCCTCTGATCTCAGCCTCAATAGCTAGGATTATAGATGTGAGCCACCTATAAAGCATCCGGCTACCTTTAACAGCTTAACAGTTTCAGCAACACATTGGATATTTCTAACACAGTTAATAGCATCCTAAAACAAAATCAAACCTGATCTCTCTCTCCTAAGCAACATTCCATTGCCTCCTTCCCTGCTTCTTGTAATATTCCATATTCTGTTAGATTTCCTCAGTAATCAGAAGTTATGCTGTGTAGACACTTTCTCAAATTCTCTTTTGCAGACCATCTCCTCTTTCTATAGTTACCATCCTATCCAAGCCAGCTAACTAGCTTTCCAATCTCTTCTTACCCCCACACAAATCATTGCCCTTGGTCTCTGTCAGATGTTTCTGAAACACTGCTTCCGTCATGCTATTCCTTAGTCAGTGTGCTGCCAGCATTTCCTGAGCAATGTTCATCTTCCTTGAAAGTGCTAGGACATGCGTAGAACAGTGTTTTATACTATCTTGTTACCTAGTCTGTTTATAAAGTTTATTTACCAGGGAAGATGAAAAGGGGAAAAAGCTATATCTTAAATGTATTCATTTTTAATTTCTGAAAACTTGACCCAGTAAAATCCATCAAATTCTAACCAAATGAATTTAGTGAAAAGGACACAGTAAAGCCAGAATAATTTTTTGTGCCAGTATCAGGGGTTTAACTCAAGACTTTGTCCTCTTGCTTGGCCATTTTTTCCCTCAAGGATGGCGCTCTAACACTAGAGCCATACCTCCCTTTTAGCTTTTTGCTAGTTATTTGGAAATAAAGAGTCTCACATATTTTCGGTCTGGGCTGGTTTTGAACTTCAGATTTCAGTCTCCAAAGGAGCTATGATTATAGGCATGAGCCACCAGTGCCTGGCTCAAATTTTATTTTTTGTCAGTCGTGGGGCTTGAACTCTGGGCCTGGGTGCTGTCCCTCAGCTCTTCAGCTCAAGGCGAGAGCTCTACCACTTGAGCCACAGCACCACTTCCAGTTTTCTGGTAGTTAATTGGAGATAAGAGTTTCACGGCCTTTTCTGCCCGGGCTGGCTTTGAACTGCGATCCTCAGATCTTAGCCTCCTGAGTAGCTAGGATTACAGGCGTGAGCCACCGGTGCCTGGCTTCAAAATATTTTTAAAGGTAGAAATCATTGTCTTATTGAGTGAAGTAAGTACAGTTCTTATATCATTTAAATGACAGAATCCACTGTGTAGTCATAGGAATTCTAATACTTCTGATTAAGAACTCAGCCTAATCATTAGATGCCTAATACTGCACTTTGATACTTTGGTTAGTTCCAAGTGTTTCCTGTTATGTTTCAAACATAACAGCTTCTTCTTTCCAAAGCTGGTTTTGTTCTTTTTTTTTTTTTTTTTTTTGGGTCCGGTCGTGGAGCCTGAACTCTGGGCTGGGCGCTGTCCCTCAGCTCTTGAGCTCAAGGCTAGCGCTGTACCACTTGAGCCACATCGCCACTTCCGGCTTTTTTCTTTTTGCTTATGTAGTGCTGAGGAATTGAACCCAGGGCCTCAGGCATGCAAGGCAAGCGCTCTACCACTGAGCCACCTTCCCAGCCCCTGGCTTTGTTCTTATATCACATTGGATTTCCTGTTCTTTCTGAAACCATTTCTATGATTTTCTTAAATCTGCCTGAATAGTACTGAGTCTACCATGTCTTAACATCAATACATACAGGCGTGTCCGTTTTCTTCTTGAAGTCAGTACAGGTGTATTTGAATAAGCGTACCAGAAGTTCTGACTCTGGGAAAGCTCTGGCTCCTGTGGCAGTAGTCACCATCCATTGTCTTGGTATCCTGTTCTATCCTGTACCACCTTTACCTGCCACCACACTAAGCACCATTGTGGACCAGGCTGCCTTTGTGTCTTCTCCTCTGTGTTTACCCCAAATCATTCAAGTCTAGGGAGCATTTCAGCTCTGCTAGTAATGTAGAAATGTCTGCATTTTCAGGATTAATGTCCGTATTGGCAGAAATAAGACCAAAGAATGACTTGGGGCATCCCTTCTGTGATAATTTGCGATCTGGAGATTGGATGATTGACTATGTCAGTGGCCGGCTTGTTTCTCGATCAGGAAATATTGCTGAGGTAAAGTAAAGCTTTATTATATCACTATTATATATAATATTTACATATGTTCTTGAGCTTTTTGCTTCCCTTCATTATCATTAAATTCTAATAAATGGAAATCTAGTTAATTGATATCTGGATAGCAAAGTTACATGTTTAGATTTACCTTTTCACATATACACAGCAAATTAACCTTTTAAATTGTTTTTATAACAGGTTGGTAAATGGTTACAGGCTATGTTCTTCTACCTGAAGCAGATCCCACGATACCTCATCCCATGTTACTTCGATGCTATTTTAATTGGTGCATATACCACTCTTCTAGATACAGCATGGAAGCAGATGTCAAGGTATAGACAACAGAGCTCTGATAATAGAAATGTTTGTGTAGTAGCTATCTGCAGAGTCACTTGATACATTGGTGTAAAAAAACTAAAACATAGTTAGGTGCCAGTGGCTTTAATGCTTCCTACAAAAGAGGCTGAAATCTGAGAACTGAGGTTCAAAGCCAGCTTAGCTGACAAATTTATGAGATTATTTATTTATTTGTTTGTTTGTTTGTTTGTTTAGGTTGGTCATGGGGCTTGAACTCTGGGCCTGGGCACAGGACATCAGCTCTTCAGCTCAAGGCTAGTGCTCTACCACTTTGAGCCACAGCACCACTTTCAGTTTTTTGCTGCCTAATTTGAGCTAAGAGTCTCATGGACTTTCCTGCCCAGGCTGGCTTTGAACCATGATTCTCAGATCTTGGCCTTCTGAGTAGCTAGGAGTAGCTGGTGGTGTGAGCCACCAGTACCCAGCAAATTTATGAGATTTTTATTTCCAATTAACAAGCAAAAATTTGGAAGTAGAGACAAGGCTGAAGTGGTACAGTACCAGCCATGAACAATTAAGCCTAAGGAGAGTAAAAAAGTCTAGAGTACAACAGTACCAGCACAAATTAAAAAAGGAAGAAAAGATCAAAACTAAAGGAATTGTCATAGACTCAGAGCTGAAGAAGTTTTTAAATACTAAGTTTATTAGTACCTTTTAGTCTGTAGTCTATAGTTTATCAAAGCAAATTCAGATACTAAAAATCTTTTCTATAAACCCACTAAAATGGTATTTTATATTATTTGGTTTTATCTATTCAGTATGGTTGAATGTTGATATTTTTAGAATATATAGTTTTTCATCACTTAAAAAGAAAAAATACTCTGCTATTATTATAAATTAAATTTGCTTTTAGTGGTGAGATTCTGTAAAATAATATGACAAACTGAAATGTACCCACAGGAGCTACCAAATTAACTTGGACATCACTTCAAGGGGAAAAAAGACCTACCATTTGTTTCACAGTACCATGAACTTCAATAGCTAACTAAAATAAAGGGTGGCCAGGTGCCAGTGGCTCACGCCTATAATCCTAGCTAGTCATGTGGCTGAAATCTGAAAATCACAGTTTGACGCCAGCCTGAGCAGATGAGACTCTTATCTCCAATTAACGAGCAAAAAACGGATGTAGAGCTGTGACTCAAGTAGTATAGCATCAGTCTTGAGCAAAAAAAGCAGAGACAGTTTCCCAAGTTGAAGCCCCCATACTGACAATAAATAAATAAATAAGTAAAAAGTGATATGAAAGCAGGTTTGAAATCTAACTAAATTCAACATTTTTTAAGTCATAGTATCAATTACACACATTTGTATAAAAAAATCACATGATGGAAGAAAACCCAGTGAAATAAGACTGCTAAAATATTTGGTATTTCTACATCTGTTTAAACTGTTCACTATTTGTTGCAGCTTTGTTCAGAACGGCTCAACCTTTGTGAAGCACCTTTCCCTGGGGTCTGTGCAAATGTGTGGAGTGGGGAGATTCCCCTCCCTGCCCCTCCTCTCACCCTCCCTTGTGGATGTGCCGTACAGGCTGAACCAGATCACCAGAGAAAAGGAGCAGTGCTGTGCTTCCTTGGCCGCAGGTAAGGCGTCTTAGAGAGGGCAAAACATGCAAGTCCATTGTGTTCAAGAAGGAAAACCCATGAGAAATGATTGGGTCTTTTAAATTCATCATCTTATGGGAGATTTTTGTTTTATTTCTTAGTAAAGTTTCATAGAAGCTCACGTGTAAAAATACTAACCATACTTATTATTTATTTATAACTATACACCAAGCATTTATGTGTTGTTGGATTGTGGCTGGGTAAACCTTTCTTCTACAAGTGTCTGTTTTTTTCCAATTGTGTTTATTCTTCAGTGTTTAAAAAGAAACCCAACTTTGCAATTACCAAGAGTCACAAATTCAAATAAGCAAAGTCCACTGAAGGACAGGCTTTTCTTTTTAATAATTTCCATCAAACTTCTAGAAAGTACTTAGTATTTTAGGCCATTGAACTTTAGAACTCTCCAAACTAAACTGAAATACATAAAACCATAGGAGAGAAGTAATTCTACCATCTGTGTGTCTATTGCATTACATATTGGCTCTGTTAGTGAAATTTCTTTAACTGTACATCTGCTCAGATCAGATGAAATGCTTATGATACCCAACAACTGAAATAGAAATTGCCATTTTATTTAGGACAATTGTAAAAAGTTATTAAATATGTCAGGCATGTAAGTAGAATCCGTAAGTAGAAACAAATTCTAATACTTGCTTCCAGCAACCTGATGGGGTCTTTTGCCTGATCCATACTACCAAAAAATAGAGCTACACTCAAACTCACAAATAGGTCTTGAGGGAGCTTATCTTAAGACACTGAAAATGGCTTTCTATGGTAATTTACTACAAAACAATTTTAATTGTAAACTTTTACAATAATTGACAACTTAACTCCAACTATGTGTGAATGATAAGTTTTAAACTCTTAAAGGTCAAAAAGGTTGGTCTGGGAAGGTGGCTCAGTGGTAGAGCGCTTGCCTTGCATGCCTGAGGCCCTGGGTTCGATTCCTTAGCACCACATAAGCAAAAAGAAAAAAGCCGGAAGTGGCGTTGTGGCTCAAGTGGTAGAGTGCTAGCCTTGAGCTGAAGAGCTGAGGGACAGCGCCCAGGCCCAGAGTTCAGGCCCCACGACCGGACCCAAAAAAAAAAAAAAAAAGTCAAAAATGTGATATAAACATTTTCTTGTAGCTAAGCACTGGTGGCTCATACCTGTAATCCTAGCTACTTGGGAGCTGAGATCTGAGGATCGAGGTTCAAAGCCAGCCCAGGCAGGAAAGCCCATGAAACTCTTATCTCCAATAAACCACCAGAAAACCAGAAGTGACACGGTAGCTCAAGTGGTAGAGTGCTAGCCTTGAGCTGAAGAGCTGAGGGACAGTGCTCAGGCCCAGAGTTGTAGTCAGGCCCACAACTAACTAAAAAAAAGCCAACAAACAAAAAACATTTTCTTATATCAGTGCCAGAGATTTTTATAGCTTTTTTTCTTTGTGAGAGGTTGGGGACATGATCTTTCTAGGTTACCCAGAATGGCCTCAAGCTTATGATCCTTTTGCCTTTGCCTCTTGAGTGCTGATATTATAGACATGCACCACCATGTTCACTTACCTTTGTACCTTTTTTGTTTGTGTATGACCATCCTGGAGTTTGAACTCAGGTCTTAGGCTCTGTCCCTGAGTTTTTTTGTTCAAGGTTAGTGCTCTTCCACTTAAATCACAGCTCGTTTTTGTGTAACTAATTTGTCAATAAGACTTTCCTGCTGGAGTAGCTTGGAACCACAGTCTTCAGATCTCAGCCTCCTGAGTAATTAGTATTACGGACATGAGTGGACAGAAGCTTTTCCTTTTTTTTTTTTTTTTTGTTTTTTGTTCCAGTCTTGGGGCTTGAACTCAGGGCCTGGGCACCGTCCCTGAGCCTCTTTTGCTCAAGGCTAGCACGCTACCTCTTCAGCCCCAGCACCACTTCCATCTTTCTCTGAGTAGTTTCTTGGAGATAATAATCTCATGGACTTTTCTGCCTAGGCTGCCTTTGAACTACGATCCTCAGATCTCAGCCTCCTGAGTAGCTAGGATTACAGGTATGAGCCACCAGTACCTAGGTAGTTTTTACTTCTTAACAAAAAAACTGGATATTTCAGACATGCCAGCTCAGACTCATTCTTGAGTCTGAATACATGTCACATACAAGATGTTAAAGCACTGGAAAATCTCTGTGACACAAGTGCTGTGGGTAACCATTGTCACTGTCATAATCATCTTCAGCCATCTATATATGTCACCCATATATAAATAATACCCAGCATGTTTGAGGAAATTGTGAACCATCATTTTGAGTACTTGGTAGAAAAAATGTCTAATGCTGCCTCTAAGCCTTCATTCTTTATTTTTTCTTTTGTTCTTTTTCCTTCAGTACTTGAGTTTGACCTTTGCCTCATGCTTGCTAGGCTGGCACTCTACTACTTTAGCAATGCTTCCAGTACTATGTTTTTCTGGTTACCTTGCAAATGAAAATCTAACAAACTTTTCTACCTGGGCTGGTTTCAAACCTCAATACATCAAATCTCAACTACCTGTTCAGCTAGGATTACAGTCACCAGTACCTGGCTAATTCTGATCTTTCTAAATAGAAGAAACGAATGTCTAATTCCCAAGAAAGTAAAAATCAAAAACAAAAAAAACAAAACAACCAGAAACTTCATTGTGAAGTACTTGTAAGAATTGCCAGATTTTTCTTCTTAGTCAAGTTCTTTCATGTTTCAATTTATCCCCTAGCCTTTAGTCTTTTATTTCATTTACTCAACAAATATTTATAGGAATATATGCCACCTATAATTTTCAGTAATAATTTCAGTTCTAATTTTCAGTGTGGTGAAAAAGCAAATAAGTTTTCTGCCATCCTAAGACTAACTTTCTACTGGGGAGATAGGAGATATGGTCCTTGAATAAATAAGAAACAAAGAAATTTCAGATATAATTTAGACATACACTGCAATCATCAATGAAAACAGGATGAAGAATCTCACTGACGCTGAGGTAGACATGTCATAATGAGATTCCCCCCTCCCATATAACTAGTGTATGCTAAAACTTTCCATGAAGCCAGGTACCAGTGGCTCACGCCTGTATCCCTAGCTACTCAGGAGACTGAGCTAAGAGGATCATGGTTCAAAGCTAGTCTGGGCAGGAAAGTCCGTGAGACTCTTACCTCCAATTAAGCACTAAAAAATCCAGAAGTGCAAGTATTGCTCAAGTGGTAGAGCACTAAATCTTGGGGAGAGGGAGGAAGCGCAAGGAAAGCACCCAAGCCTTGAGTTAAAGCCCCAGGACCCAAACACACACAAAAAAGCCTTTCCATGAAACTATAATACTTTAAAAAATCATTCACAAGATCTGCATCTATCTATATCTATCTACATAGATATAGATATTTTGTATGAAGTATATAGCACTATACCTTAAAGTTTTGTACTAAATTTTGGATGAAAAATAATGGATCTGTAAACACATTTTGCTAAGTGTGTCCTCCAGGTAATGGTTCCATCTAATGTGTATCATTTCCTTAACATCAAGGGAGAATCTTGTAGAGTATATAATTTATATTACAGTGCTACATCATATGTTGATTTTTATTTATTTATTTATTTTGTCAGGCCCAGTAACTCTGGGCCTGGGTGCTGCCCCTCAGCTCTTCAGCTCAAGGCTAGCACTCTACCACTTGAACCACAGCACCACTTCTAGTTTTCTGGTAGTTTATTGGTAGTTTATTGGAGATAAGAGTCTCGTGAACATTCCTGCCCTAGTTGGCTTTGAACCATGATTCTCAAATCTCAGCCTCCTGAGTAGCTAGGATTACATGTGTAAGCCACTAGCGCCTGGCATATGTTAAAATTTGAGCTCTGATTTTTTTAAGCTTTTAATTTATTAAAAGAAAATTGCTCCCTATTTGAGAACACATTCAAATGGATTCAGTTGAGAATCCCTCTGTTTGTGGTTCCTGGGGCTAGAGGTTTAGTCCAGAGCTAATGCTTGTTTTGCTTTGGTTCTTAACCTTCAAGAATCCCCTCACGAGACTGCACAACCTCACTCCACAAAAGTTGACATAAATGTAGACATATACTCCATAGATAATTTTAGATCATTGGCACTTACCCAGGTTAGTGTTGTGAGGTACTGTAGTTCATAGTTTGGCTGTATTATTATGATTGATATATTATTGCTTTGTCATCTTTTCTGTTAGGCTTACCTCATTTTTCTTCTGGTCTTTTCCGCTGCTGGGGCAGGGATACATTCATTGCACTTAGAGGTCTACTGCTTGTTACTGGACGCCATTTAGAGGCCAGGTAAGAGTTTCTGTAAAAGTTGCAATGCAGATTTATAAATCAGTGCTTTCTGCATGTTTGTCCAATGTCCCTTTTTATCCATTTGTTCCCAGCATTTCAGTGGTATGTTCTGCATACATTTAAATTTTTTCCTTTCTCATCTGTTTATTGAATAGGATTGACTCTTCCATTGAGTCTCTTTACTCAATGGAAGAAAAAGTTACTAAGTTCTAATCTTCCATATTGCAGATAAAGTTATCTTTATCATTTGTAAATTTGTTCCAATAAATTAAATTTTGTAAACCATTTTATGCTCTTAGAATGAAAAGTCAATGATATCTTCATCTCAAAAAACAAACTATATGTGGTGGTCCATTCTTATATTTCTACCTACCCAGGAGATGTAGATAGACTCACTATGGTCCTAGTCCTGCCCTGAGCAGTAGTACAAGACCCTATCTGAAAAATAAAAAGCAAAATTAGGAATGTGGTTCAACTGTTAGAACACACACTCAGCAAGCCCAAGGCTCTGTATTCAAACCCTAGTACAGGAAAAAAAAGAATAAATCAAGTGCTTGTTCTGTAATATGACTTTACAAAACAGATAAAGAAGTGAGGGCAAATGAGAAAATGCACTTAAAACATAGTCACCAAAAGTGATCATTTTTGTCCTCTTTTTTTTTTTTTTTAGTATTTGTTTTCATTTCAAATGACCTACGTACCTGGTTGTTTTAGGAACATTATTTTAGCATTTGCTGGTACCCTGCGGCACGGTCTCATACCCAATCTCCTCGGTGAAGGAACTTACGCCAGGTACAATTGCCGGGACGCTGTGTGGTGGTGGCTACAGTGTATCCAGGACTACTGTAAAATGGTTCCCAATGGTGTCAACATCCTCAAGTGCCCTGTGTCCAGAATGTATCCCAGTGACGACTCTGCTCCTCTGCCTGCTGGCACAGTGGTAAGTAGTGTGTGTGTGTGTGTGTGTGTGTGTGTGTGTGTGTGTGTGTGTGTGTGTGTGTGTGTGTGTGTGTGTGTGTGTGTGTGTGTGTGTGTGTGTGTGTGTGTGTGTGCCAGCACTGGGGCCTGGACACTGTTACTTAGCTTTTTTTGCTCAAGGCTGGCGCTCTACCACTTGAACCACACCTCAACTTCTGGCTTTTTGGTGACTATTAGAGATGAGACTCTCAGGGACATTCCTGCCTGGGTTGGCTCTGAACCATAGTCCTCAGCTATAGCTAGGATTACAAGTGTGAGTCACTAACACCCATCTCAAATATAACTTTTGTTGTTGTTGAACCTAAAATATAAGTTAGAATCCAAATCTTAGGAAATATTCCAATTACCACTATTTATTTAGAATCTACTAGTACTAGGAGGGGTAGAGTGGTAGAAGTGGGGATATGTACAGAAATGTCATTGCAGAAAGACATAGAAGTATTATGTGGTCTTATTAAAGGGAAGTGGAGAGCTAGAAGTGGGTCTCAGGGAGCACTTCTGAAAGTAGCCAAATTATTCCTTCTCTGAACCTAAAAGGTGAGTAGGATTTCAAGAGAGATGGGGAATTATGGGTGCTCATTACAAGGAGGTCTAAGAATGGTAAACACCTGTCTGGTGGGCATGAGACCTTGGGCTCCATCCCCAGCTCGGCACACACAGGATGACAGAAATAGTAAAACTCATTCATTGAGGCAATTTAGGACCTGCTGCTCAGTCTAGTGTGAGCAGTGGTAAGAGACTATGGAAGGGGGAGCCAGTTGTGAGGGCCTCGGTCCCCAGTACAGGGCATTCTGAACATTTCATAGATGTGGGAGCAATTCTTTCTCTACTCAGAGATAACACGGGGGCTACTTCTGATCTGCTCTCATCATTTGTTGCACATGTGCCATAGTATGGGTCAAAGCTACTTCCAGCCTTGAATAGGTTGTTTTTCCCGTGATGTTTATATCATGAAGTACTCAGACACTTTTTCAAAATTATTTCTGTTAATACTCTGTTGCCAACTGACCTTTTTTAGTTTGGTGACTGTAGGCTTACTTTATCCAGCACACTGGTATTTAGATAGTTACATTGTTTTCCTGAAGTTTGTTAGTAATAATAATAATAATAATATTCTTTAGCATTTTAAAGGTGCTTCATAGTTGTTTTTATTATTTCTAAAAGAATTTTTACATGATAGTCTTGTTCAGAGGTTTTCAAATGAAATATAATGAATTGCTCTAAACATTTTACTTCTAATGTGCTTCGTCTTATTTTTAAAATATAGTTATATATCTCTTGAATATCACATTTGTTATTTATATGGTAAAAAAGTTATTTATGTACTCCTTACATTCACTATAGAATATTTTCCTTATTTATGATGTGCTGGTACTAGGGCTTGAACTCAGAGCCTCATATTCTCTTTTGCTTTTTTTTAACTGAAGGCTAGCACTCTACTATTTGAGCCATAGCTTCACTTCTGGCATTTTGCTGGTTAGAGATAATGGTTTCACCAACCTTACTGACTGGGCTGGCTTTAAACTGCAATCCTCAGATCTCAGGCTCCTGAGTGGTTAAGATTACAGCCATGAATACCAACACTTGGCTCTTTTTATTATTATTGTTATTATTATTTTGGCTAGTTCTAAAGTTTAAACTCAGCACCTCTTGCTCTTACTCAGCTTTTTTGCTCACCTCCAACAAACTGCCTGAGCCACACCTCCAGCCTGGCTTTTATGGCTAATTGGACATTTAACCTCACAAACTTTTCAGCCCTGGTTGGCCCTGAAATATAATCCTCCAGATCTCAGCCTCCTGAGCAGCTGTGATTACAGGCCTGAGCCCCTAGCTCCTGGCTAGTGGTAGGATATTTTCTAGATTTGTGGTAGAGCCCCATTTTGAGGACACAACTTTTATACCAATTTATTGCTACTACCTAATATAGATTAGGTAAATAAATGATAAATATTAGGCAAATAATAAATGTGATTTTATATATATATATATATAAAACCTATATTACTTATACTTTTTTTTTTTTTTGTCGGTCTTGGGGCTTGAATGCTGGGCCTGGGCGCTGTCTCTCAGCTCTTCAGCTCAAGGCTAGTGCTTTACCACAGCGCCACAGCACCATTTCCACTTTTCTGGTGGTTTATTGGAGATAAATCTCACAGACTTTCCTGCCCGGCTGGCTTTGAACCTTGATCCTCAAATCTCAGCCTCCTGAGTAGCAAGGATTACAGGCGTGAGCCACTGGCACCCAGCTATATTACTTATACATATGTGTGTGTGTGTGTGTATAAAATATATTATTATGTAAGTATGTATGTCAATTTAAAATGGAGGTTCTGGATGATGTACTAGATACATTACTATGTATTATGCTAATAGAAACTATATATGCTTACTAGATTCCTTTACATATATCTACAGAATTACAAATGATTTAGTAATCACTGACCTGAATAAACTAGTAATGTCAAATACTCACATGTCAAGTGTATCCTTTGGGGTATAAGAAATGCTTTTTTCTTTTTTTTTCTCCCATCCCCACCAGTCCCTAATCTCTCTTCCCATTGCTTAGTTGAGGATCTTGGGGAGGGCATGTCCTTTGTAATGGAGGTAACACCCTCTCTCTGCAACAGGACCAACCGCTGTGTGAAGTCATACAGGAAGCCATGCAGAGGCACATGCAGGGCATTCAGTTCCGGGAGAGGAATGCTGGGCCGCAGATAGATCGAAACATGAAGGACGAAGGTAATCACTCACTAACTCCACCATCTAGATTCACTTGTGTGGTAAAAGTAAACCTTGCAATTGGTCCTTAACTTTGCAGATATTTGCAGGCAAAACCTCCAGATCTAATGATGAGAAAGATTACTTCTTGAGCTTACCATGGTTTTTAGTTTCCAGAGGAAAGATAAAATTTGATTTCTGTGTGTAGTGTGTGTGTGAGAGAGAGACAGAGAGACCGGGGGGGGGGGGGGGGGGGGGGGGGGAATACTGAGCTTGAACCAGGGTCTTGTGTTTAATAGGTAGGCCATCTATCCGTGAGCTACACCTGCAGTCCTTTTGTGTACTTGTTTTTTGTTTTTTGCATTTTTTTGGTGCCAATCCTAGAGCTTGAACTCAGGTCTTAGGTGCTATCCCTGAGCTTTTTCACTCTACCACTTGAGCCACACCTCTTTTTCTGGCTTTTTGGTAGTTTTTGGATATAAGAGTCTCATAGATTTTTCTGTCCAGGCTGACTTTGAATGTTGATCCTCAGATCTCAGCCTCCTGAGTAGCTAGGATTACAGGCATGAGCCACTAGCACCCATCTGATTCATTTCTTTTTGAAAGCAGTTTAGGAATATATTTTATTAGGAAGATTTATGAATATATAAATAGGAAAGCAGGCACATGCTACCATGTCTAGCTTCTGGTTGAGAAAGGTACTTGCAAACTTCTGTCCATGCTGACTTCAAACCATAATCCTCGTTAAGCCATGATCATGATGCTTTGAAAAAATGCTTCTGAAAAAAAAATAAATATAAATATATATATATAGATTTATATATATATATATTTTTTTTTTTTTTTTTTGGTCGGCCGTGATGCTTGAACTCTGGGCCTGGGCGCTGTCCCTTAGCTCTTCAGCTCAAGGCAAGCGCTCTACCACTTGAGCTACAGCGCCACTTCCGGTTTTTCTGGTGGTTATTGGAGATAGGAGTCTCACGGTCTCTCCTGCCCGGGCTGGCTTTGAACCGCGATCCTCAGATCTCAGCCTCCTGAGTAGCTAGGATTACAGGCGTGAGCCACCGGCACCCGGCTGCTTCTGAAAATATTATTATGTGAAAAGACCAGAGGGAAATACATGAGTATTGTTTTTGTAATAGGATTATAAGCTTTTATCATCTCTATATTGATATAAGAACGGTGTTTTTTAGCATATAGTAACAAGCTTTTGAATAATCTATTGTGGCTGCTCCAAACTCACTAACTCATTAGCTAATATTGATATACACTTAGCTTAATTCTTTCTTAATTCTGTGTTCTGCTGAATTATGTTGTATACAATTAAATTAGAAATTGTTCATTTAAGCCAGGTGCCGGTGGCTCACACCTGTAATCCTAGCTACTCAGGAGGCTGAGATCTGAGGATCTCGGTTCAAAGCCAGCCCAGGCAGAAAACTCCGTGAAACTCTTATCTCCAATAAACCACCAGAAAACCGAAAGTGGTGCTGTAGCTCAAGTGGTAGAGCACTAGCCTTGAGCTGAAGAGCTGAGGGACAGCGCCCAGGCCCAGAGTTCAAGCTACATGACCAACAACAACAAAAAAAATTGTTCATTTATTTTGTGTAGTGGTAACACAATTATTAGCCCAAATCACCTGGTAATAATCACATACTATTCTCCCCTTCACTAAGAGAAATCAACAGAAACAGATTTTATATTTAAAGAACATTTCTTGTGATTTCTCTGAATTATTTTAGTTTAATTAACTTTTTAACATTTTAACTTCACAGAAAGTAAGATTTCTTTTAACTTTGAACCTAGCACTGAGTTTAAACAGGTATTAATATTTTCTTCAGATCTTCCTGTTTTACCTTGAAAAGAAAGAAACCATATCAGATATATTCAAAGTTTCATTTCTTTCTTTCCTCTCTAGAATTAATGATTATCTCATATTAGGGTGTGCTATTTCCTTGTATGCTTGCATATGTTAAGGAGTTGTATATGTGTGTATATATATATATATATATATATATATATATATATATATATAAATCATATGTGATATTCTTTATGTAGTATACATTCAGTGCTGTAATATATACTTTGTTTCAGTTTTAAATGAAACTTGTTTAAGTTTTACATGAAACTTGCACTAGACATACAAAAATATATATGTTAGTATCATCTATATTATATACTTTTACAGAAAATCTCCTTACTAGTATATCTTTTTGTATCCTGTTTATTCAATTACTTTATCTTGGGAACTTATCCATTTTGATAGGTGTAAATTCAGTCATTGATTTTAAATGATACAGTTTCCCATTGTATAAACAAAATCTAGCCACTCCTCTGCTGAGTGATGGTTTATGTATTTCCTAATGCAATCACTGTTATAATCAAAGTCCTGATAGACATTTCCATGTGCACCTGGTTAAGGAGAGAGAAATGAAATTTCTATGAGGTTGGATATGCATATCTTAAACTTTTGAGGTAATATGAAATTTATCTTCAGAGTAATTGTCCTAGTTTATTCCTTTAAATTTTTACAGATGTTTTAAATACTTATGTCCACATGCTATTTATACTGTATAATTGTTCTCAATATCTTATTTTATAAATGTTCTATTTTGCTCTTTGAGGCTTTAATATAACTGCTGGGATTGACGAAGAAACGGGGTTTGTTTATGGAGGAAATCGCTTGAATTGTGGCACATGGATGGATAAAATGGGAGAAAGTGACAGAGCTAGAAACAGAGGAATCCCGGCCACACCAAGGTAGTGTTGTTTACACTGCTATGTGATTGTGCTTTTTTGAACTCAGGGCCTTAGTTTTTCCCCTAAAGGCTGGCACTCTCCCACTTGAGTCATAGCTCTACTCCTAGCCTTTGTAAGGTTAATTAAAAATAAGAGTCTTACAAACTTTTCTGCCCTGGCTAGCTTCAAACCACAATCTCAGATCTCAGCCTCCTGGCTTGTTTATACCCTTTTAATCTACCATTTCTTTTTTAAAGGCATGCCTGTTGAATCTTTTACTTTTCTAACCAAATAAAGGAAATTCAGAGTTCCATCAAATTCAGTCCTCCCATTTTATCAATCAGAATCTCTCTCCTCCTTCTGCCCTTCCTCTTCTACTCACCCCTTCCTCTTCCTTTGTGGAAGCACACAATCTCCTTAGAGTAAGTCAGTCATGTCAAAGAGCTATCTCCTCTCCTCTGGAAGCTTTCATGGTGTGTTGATGTGCGTCCCTGCAAACATTGCTAAGGAAAACTTTCATGTTTGATTTGCACGTGGTTAAGACATTTTCTGAATCTAGACTGCTTTCAGTGTAACTATTTCATTATGCCATCTATTGCAAACATAGAAGTAACCAGTTGTCCATCTTTCAGGAAATTTTTTCACTTCCTGAACTTTGCTTTTTTTCTCTCTAATTTTTTTTTCCTTTATCCTATAATTTGCCACTTAATCAGTTTTCTTTCTTTTTTTTTTTTGGGGGGGGGGTCCGGTTGTGGGGCCTGAACTCTGGGCCTGGGCGCTGTCCCTCAGTGATTCAGCTCAAGGCTAGCGCTCTACCACTTGAGCCACAGCGCCACTTCCAGCTTTTTTCTTTTTGCTTATGTGGTGCTGAGGAATTGAACCCAGGGCCTGCCTCATGCATGCAAGGCAAGCACTCTACCACTGAGCTACCTTCCCAGCCCCACAGTTTTCTTTCTTATGATTTATATAGACTTATATAGATTCTTTCCTAAATATTGCTCCTGATACTATATAAAATTGCGAATCTGTTTTCTAAAAGATTTTATCTTCCATCAGAACTGTACCAAAACTAATCAAATAGCTCATCTTGAACTGGATACTCAGAGAGAGCACTTGCTTAGCCTGTGGCCTTGGGTTTAATTGCTAGCGCAAGAAAAAAAGAGATAAAAGAAAGTTTCTGTCTTTACTTGCTTACAAATTCTTTAAAAATCCTATTTGTTTGTATTGTCTTGTCTTGTCTTTCAGTAGTTGTACAAAAGGATTTCAATCCAACAGGTCAATTTATGAATGCAGTGCATCTTGATTAATGTCTCCCCTTCCATCATTCTCCACTCCATCTCTTCCAACCCAGGCCAACATTATCAGATCTTATATTTTCTTTTTACTTTCCTTGGAAATGATTATTTATAAATATGTTACAAAAATAATGCCAAAATAGTAAAAGGACATTTCTCATGATATAATACAAATTCCTAATAAAATGAGAACTTTTTTTAGTACATAGTTATACATTAGTCATAATATTAAATATAACATTACTCATAGCATTAGTTGATTAATATAATTAATTTTATTACTGTTATAATTTTTATAAAAAATTCATGTTAGCTATTAGTCATGATTAGTCATATTAATTAAAATTTTTCTTGTTTGGGGGTCTTTACTTGAAGTGGTGATTGGTTGGTTGGGTGTTTTTAGTGTTAGAGCCCAAACCCAGGGCCTTTTACATGTTAGGCTAGTCTTATACCACTGAGCCACCCATACAGTACTAGGCTATTTCTCAAGTTCTCTTTTAGATAGTGTTTAAATGAATCCAGCTTAGAATAATGAAGTTTATTTTTAATTTAGAGATGGGTCTGCTGTGGAAATCGTCGGCCTGTGTAAATCTACCGTCCGTTGGTTGCTGGAATTATCCAGAAAGAATATTTTCCCTTATCAAGAAGTCAGAATAAAAAGACATGGTAAGCTGTTCATTTTGTTTACCAAGAAATTTCTAATGTACTGTGCTTATTTTCACCAGTATAATTACCATTTGGCTCAGTTAACTATTTCCTCAAGAGGAGGTGAAAATCATCAGTTTCCTAGTGTGGAAATTTTAACAAACCTGGTTACAAACCACACTCTGTGTGTGTGTGTGCACACACATACCCATGCCAGTACTAGACCTTAAACTTAGGGCCTGGGTACTCTCTGAGCTTTTGTGCTCAAAGCTAGGGCTCTACCACTTGAGCCACAACTCTACTTTCAGATATGAGTCTCACAGACTTCGTTGCCAAGGCTGGCTTCAAAACATCATCATCAGAGCTCAGCTTCCTTGAGTAGCTAGGATTACGGATATGATATGAACCACCAGCACTTGGCAGCCACACCCCCCGGTTGTGCGGCCTGATCTCTGGGCCTGGACAATGTCCCTCAGCTCTTCAGCTCAAGACTACCAGTCTACCACTTGAGCCACAGCACCACTTCTGGCTTTTTCTGATTATATGGTGCTAAGGAATCAAACCTAGGGCCTCATGCATGCAAGGCAAGCACTCTACCACTGAGCCACCTTCCCAGCCCCCACACACTTTTTTTTTTTGTAGGTCATGGGGCTTGAATTCTAGGCCTGAGCGCTGTCTCTGAGCTCTTCAGCTCAAGGTGAGTGCTCTACTACTTAAACCACAGCGCCACTTCTAGTTTTCTGGTTTCTGGTGATTATTTGGAGATAAGAGTCTCATGGACTTTCCTGCCCAGGCTGGCTTTGAACTGTAATCCTTAGATCTCAACCTCCTGAGTAGCTAGGATTATAGGCATGAGCCACTGGTACCTAGCAACCACACACTTTTTATAGTACTTTTGAACTCAGATAAGAACATCTACCTAGTTATTATTTCCATGTTGTGCTATTTTCTTTTCCAATTACAGAGCAGAGTATATGCACACTTTTGAAGTCTTCACATGTTTTTCTAGAATACTGCTGTATTCTAGAATACTGCAGTATTGCTACATACATAGTATGAAATTTTCTAGTATTCACATTTGGAAAAAGTAAAAAGAAACAGATGGAATTAATTATAAGATCTTTAACTTACTGTAGGTAAAATACTGTTCAATGTCTAATCAATGCAAAATTATTGCATGAAAATTATTTTTCATTCTTTTTTGGGATGTATAAATCTTTGAAATCCTATGAATATGTTTCATGCATAGCACATCTCAATTTAGACCAGTCAGAAAGATCTTTAAAAAATAAACATCTGACTAGGAATGTGGCTTAGTGGTAGAGTGCTTGCCTAGCATGCATGAAGCCCTGGGTTTGATTCCTCAGTACCACATACACAGAAAAAGCCAGAAGTGGCGCTGTCACTCAAGTGGTAGAGTGCTAGCCTTGGGCAAAAGAAGCTCAAGGACAGTGCGCAGGCCCTGAGTTCAAGCCCCAGGCCTGGCAAAAAAAAAAAAAAAAAAAGTAGACATCTATCTTTTCCTCCTAGAAGATAAAAATAAGTAAACTAAATATGACTAGATGCTTGAAATGCTTTAAATATCTAAAACTATGTCGTTCATCCTTTTCCAGGGAAATTTACAACAGTCTCCTATGATGAATGGAACAGAAAAATACAAAACAACTTTGAAAAGCTGTTTCATGTTTCAGAAGACCCATCAGACCCTAATGAGAAGCACCCGAACCTAGTTCACAAGCGTGGCATATACAAAGACAGCTACGGCGCATCAAGCCCCTGGTGTGACTACCAGCTCAGGCCAAATTTCACCATAACCATGGTCGTGGTCAGTGAGTTCCCCATTATTTTCAAACCTCAAGCATGGTGGTGATCAAATTTTCCCTATTTGTTTTCAAGTTCATTTAGCTGAAAAAGCATATTCCTTACTAGTTTTATATAGTCTTCTGACCACTATTTGGAAAGCTCTCAACTAGTGAACCAGCCATGCATAGTTTAAACTCACATTCTTTGTTGTATTATTCTAATTAGTTTTATCTACTCAAAAGTTCACAATTCTATTTTTTAAATAGCATTAAGATCAACTATAAGCTATAAGAGTACTAAAATCATGGTTTATATTTGTCTAAGCCTGCTTAGGTATTTCTGCTTTGGCAAAAGGTGACTTGGCCTGGTGTAGTAGTACTTGCCTGCAATCCCAGCTACTCAGGCCAGATATTCATGTGTCTTGGACAGGAGGATTATGATCTGAAGCCTGGGCAAAGACCCAATCTGAAAAACAAATCCAAAACAAAGGGTTTAGGGTATAGTTCAAGTGGTAGAATGTTTCCTTAGCAAACTCAAGGCCCTCAGTTCAGTCTTCAGTACTGCTGAGCACTGATGGCTCACACCTATAATCCTAGCTACTCAGGAGGCTGAAATCTGGATCATGGTTTGAAGCTAATAAACTACTCAGAAAAGGCCAGAAGTGGCACTGTGGCTCAAGTGGTAGAATGCTATTTGCTCTTTGCTTGAGCAAAGAGAAGCTCAGGGACAGTGCCTAGGCCCAGACTTCAAGCCTCAAAGGAAAAAAAAAAAAACTTCAGTATTGCAAAAAGAAAAAAAAATTACTAAATGTAGTACAGAATGGAATGCTTAAAGATACACAAAGCAGCTTTGTGCAGTTGCATTTGACTTCAGTTAGTCATTGAAATTGATATAGACTTCTCTCTCTTCCCTGTGCAAAAAAATCACAAGTAATGTTACTCATGCTATTAGAGGACAAGTTTTTCTGTATTTTCATATGACCCTAAAACTAAAAGAAATGGATTCAGATATACTTACTGGAAACTCTGATAAATCTTGTAAAAGAATCAATTAGATAGGAGTGAGTTTTGCCTTCCTTGTAGCTTCCTTTGGGATCTAGTGTTCAGTCTGGAAGTTTGGAGGGGTCATGGTCACCTCCATATGCTTTCACCTCCCTGTCAGACCCCAGGGATTGAACCTGAGTATCTGTGCAAATTATGACCCACACTGCATTGTCAAATAAGTTGTATTTTCTAAGTTTATGATTAGCTTATATAAGTGAGAGCTAATTCTTCTGTGATCTTAAAATGTTTGCGTATTTAATTTGACCTCCTTTAGGCCCCTGAACTCTTCACTACAGAAAAAGCATGGAAAGCTTTGGAGATTGCAGAAAAAAAATTGCTTGGTCCCCTTGGCATGAAAACTTTAGATCCAGAGTAAGTTGGAACAGTAGTATTAAGAATGTTGTTGGTATTGTATCTAAACATGGATTGTTGTATCTGAAAACACAAACTTCAGCCATTTACCTTTTCTTACCAAGAACATCTCTGAAATTACATTCAAACTGAGTTTGTGAAGTGTTTGGTGTCTTCGTTGAGCATCAGGGCTAAAATGCTAATCCTGTATTCACTCATCAATTAAAGAGTTTTTAGTTTATAAAACTAATATGCCAGGCTGGGAAGGTGGCTCATTGTTAGAGTGCTTGCCTTGTATCCATGAGGCCCTGAGTTCAATTCCTCAGCACCACAAAAGCAGAAAAAGCTTGAAGTGGTGCTGTGGCTCAAGTGGTAGAGAGCTAGCCTTAGCTGAAGAGCTGAGGGACAGCGCTCAGGCCCAGAGTTCAGGCCCCATGACCGACACAAAAAAAAAAAGCTTAATATGCCATGAATATTTCTTAATGCTTTTTTTTCTGTGTGTGCCAGTACTAGGGCTTGAACTCAGGTCATAGCTGTTATCTCTTAGCTTTTTCATGCCCATGGCTCATGCCTAGCTATTCAACAGGCTGAGATATGAGGATTACAGTTTGAAGCCAGCCTGGGCAGGTAAAGTCGGTGAGATTCTTTATCTCCAGTTAGTCAACAAAAAAAGCTGGAAGTAGAGGTGTGGCTCAACTGCCTTGAATGAAGAAGCTAAGGGACAGTGCCCAGGCCTAGCATTCAAGTCTCAGTAGCAGCGTGCACATGCACACAAACACATATACACACACACAGAGTAATATGTGGTTATTGTGGATATTTGAAAGTATCAATATACATACAAAAAAGTAAAGTTGCTTTAAATCTCTTTACCAGAAATAAACATTACTACAGCCTTGTGTTTTTCCAATCTTATCTATGGTTTTTTTTTTTCTTTTTCCCTTCTTTTCCTTTTTCTTCTGGGTTGAACCCAGGACCTTGATCATGCTGGGCAAGTACTCTACCAGTTGAGCCATATGCTTTTTTTTTTTCTTTCTATTTTGTATTTAAGATATGATATTGCTCCTTTTTTGCCTAGACTAGTCTTGAATTCCTAATCCTCTTGCCTTCTCTGACTGAGTAGCTGGAATTACAAGCTGTGCTACCATTCATGGCTTCTATGCATTTTTAGACCATACATGCATATACCTAGGAGAATCTGTATAAAAATTTCCTGAGTTTGGGGCTAAGGAAATAACTCACTGGTATAGCATGCAGACACAAAGTATTTTCCTGAGTTAAATCTCAGCTGTGTACACAAAGAGATAAACTAACAACAGCTATTGGGCTGGGGCTGTAGCTGTATGCAGAGCACATGCCTAGCATGCGCAAGCCCTCTACCCTTGCTACATTTCCTTAGTCTTAATTCTTCCCAGAGACAGTCATCATATTTAAAGTTGTGTCTCCTAATAGTTCCTTCCAAGCTTCTAAATAACATGCATCTACAACTATTTTATATTTTAAGTACTGTCAATAATGACCACATTCAGTTCTGTTCTTACCTCCCTACCAGACCTTCCCATCCTTCCCATGTAGTCACCTCACTTTTTTTTTTGAGTGAACAGTTTTATTTTTATTTTAGTGTGTATTCATGGCATGTTTCTAATAGCCTTTCTGTTTTTCTTTGACTGCTACCTGTCATTCCCATGTTTTTTTGGGGGGGAGGGGTCCAGTCGTGGGGCCTGAAGTCTGGGCCTGGGCGCTGTCCCTCAGCTCTTCAGCTCAAGGCTAGCGCTCTACCACTTGAGCCACAGCGCCATTTCCTGCTTTTCTCTTTTTGCTTATGTGGTGCTGAGGAATCAAACCCAGGGCCTCTGGCATGCAAGGCATGCGCTCTACCGCTGAGCCACCTTCCCAGCCCTGTCATTCCCATGTTTTATGTATCAGTAGAAGACAGAGCCTCAACTTGTCATTTCCCTACTTTATGTGACCTCATTTCAGTCATGAGATGCAAACATTTGTATGTGTGTGTATTTACCACACTGTGTGTTTATTCACAGTATAAAACTAAAACTCACAGTTGAAGCTTCTTCATGTGGCCATGTCTGTATCACTAAAAAGAAAAATATCAAATCGAATGCAGCTCTTACATTATTTGTTATAATATGCTTATTGTAGTGTTTAGAAATGTAAATTATATGGATTATAACAATATGCATATTCAGTTGCTATTTGTTATCTGACACTATATTTATTTAAAATGGCTCCATAAAAAAGTTTAAAAAAACAACTTTCTTCCAGGTTCTGGTGGCTCACACCTATAATCCTAGCTACTCAGGAGTCTGAGATCTGAGGATCAGGGTTCTAAGCAGCCCAGACAGAAAAGTCTCCATGAGACCATTATCTTCAATTAACCACTCAAAAAACAAAAGTGGAGCTGTGACTCAAAGTGGTAGAGTACTAATCTTGAGCAAAAGAGCTTAGAGACAGCTCCCAGGCCCTGAATTCAAGCCCCACATCCCCCCCCAAAAAAAGAAAAAAATTCTCAGAAAGGCATGGTAGTACACTCCTATAATCCCAGTACTTGAGTGGCTGAAACAGAAGGGTAAAAGAGTCGTAGGCTAGCCTGGGCTACCTAGCAAGACCCTATGTCAAAAACCAAAAAAAAAACAAACAAACTGGCTCCAGTGGCTTATGCCTGTAATGCTAACTACTCAAGAGGTTAAGACCTGGGCTGAGAAAGTGGCTCAGTGGTAGAGCGCTCGCCTTGCATGCTTGAGGCCCTGGGTTCAATTCCTCAGCACCACATAAGCAGAAAAAAATAAGCCGGAAGTGGCGCTGTGGCTCAAGTGGTAGAGTGCTAGCTTTGAGCTGAAGAGCTGAGGGACAGCACCCAGGCCCAGAGTTCAGGCCCTACGACCGGACCCAAAAAAAAAAAAAAAGAGGTTAAGACCTAAGGATCCAAGTTCAAAGCCAGCCTAGGGAAGACTCACCTACAATTTGCCAGCAAAAAGCTGAAAGTGGAGACTCAAGTGCTATAGCACTCACATGAACAAAAAAAAGCCATTGGAGGGCTGGGAAGGTGGCTCAGTGTAGAGTGCTTGCCTCGCATGCATGAGGCCCTGTGTTTGATTCTTTAGCACCACATAAGCAGAAAAAGCGGGAAGTGGCGCTGTGTCTCAAGTGGTAGAGCGCTAGCCTTGAGCTGAAGAGCTGAGGGACAGTGCCCAGGCCCAGAGTTCAGGCCCCACAACCGACAAAAAAAAAAAAAAGCCATTGGAGAACATCCGACCCTGAGTCCTACCCAACAAAACTCTACTACTGAGCTACCTTCCCAGCCCTAATCTTACTTTTTAACTTTACTTTAAATTTTTGTGTGTGTGTGCTGTTCCTGGGACTTGAACTCAAGTTCTGGACTCTGTCCCATACCTTTTTCCCCCAAGCTAGTTGTTCTACCACTTGAGCCACAGCTCTACTTCTGGATTTTTGGTAGTTTAGTGGAGATAAGAGTCTCACAGACTTTCCTGTTTGAGCTTTGAACTGTGATCTTTAGATCCTAACCCCCTAAGAAGTTAGGAATACAGATGTGAGCCACTAGTTCCCAGCACTTTAATTTTTACTAGCTCAAATTCCCAGCTGAATTTTTTTTGAAAAGATGATGAGCAGGAGGGGGTTATAGTTACATAAGTAAAGTAATGAGTACATTTGTTTTAAATACTGTTACCCCATCTCTCATTTTCTCCCACTTATCCCTCCCTAGTCCCCTTGTAAAGTTCATATCCAGTATAGTGACAAGTGAGTATCAATGTTGTATTAGTTCATCCTTTGCCCTTTGTCCTGTGATTTCTTTTCCCTTCCACAGATTGAATAAACTTAGATTCAAAACATAAGATACAGAAGAAGAGAAACAGAAAAAAAGAAAAACTTTATATAGGACATAATAAGAACCTCTTGTTCCCATACCTTGGAGTTATATTGATATGCTTCATTGTTTATGGTCCTATGCATAAAGCAATTGGGTTATTGAGATCTCCTGTTAAAAATATCATAGACAGTCGGGTGCCAGTGGCTCATGCCTGTAATCCTAGCTATTCAGGAGGCTGAGATCTGAGGATCATGGTTCAAAACCAGCCTAGGCAGGGAAGTCCAGGGATGCTTATCTCCAAGTAACCATCAGAAAACCAGAAGTGGCACTGTGGCTCAAGTGGTAGGGTGCTAGCCTTGAGCTGAAGAGCACAGGGACAGCACCCAGGCGCCACAACCAAAAAGAAAAAAAGAAAAAAATCATAGACATATCCTAGTTCTTAATGATTACACAGATATTAGAAACCTAGTAAAATAGTTGACTTGAAACTCAATAGTATTCAGTCCTTGAAAGCAAGGGCTTTCATTATAACTATTTGTTTATCCTTCCTGAGCTCATTATTATCAGTATAGACTGTTTGTGGTTAGATGATGTAATAAGGCTAATGTATTATGCCATAGATTAACAGATAAAATGATTTGACTGTTTCTCTTATTTCTCATTTGACTATTTTTTCAGTTCTCTTGGTGTTGCAATTTTTCTATGCTTGCTTCATGATACTTAACTAAATGTCCATTGTTTTGCAGTGATATGGTTTACTGTGGAACTTATGACAATGCCTTAGACAACGACAACTACAATCTTGCTCGAGGTTTCAATTATCACCAAGGACCTGTAAGAATTTTGTTTCATTCCTTTGAATTCTCAGTTTGAGGTATTTTTTGAGTAATGTTAAGTATTCACAGCTATTTAAATCATATGTTCACATCATACTTTTTTTTAGGAGTGGCTTTGGCCTATTGGGTACTTTCTTCGTGCAAAGTTATATTTTTCCAAGTTGTTGGGTCCAGAGACTACCGCAAAGACTATATATTTGGTTAAAAATGTTCTTTCTCGACATTATGTTCACCTGGAGAGGTAAGTTATCACAGGCATATAATTTCCACAACTTATGTCTGCTCAGTTTATTAAATATTAGGTGAATAATACTTATCATTTTTGTGTACTTAAGTTATTACAATAGAATTGAAACTTTCATTCTTTTTTTTTCTTTGTATTGAACTCAGGGCCTTAACTCTGTCCCAGAGCTTTTGTGTTCAAGGTTAGTACTTTACCACTTGAGCCACAGCTCTACATCTGGCTTTCATTTGGGGATTCTTAAATGGAAATAAGAGTCAAAAGTCAAGCCACGCGCTGATGGCTCCCGCCTGTAATCTTAGCTACTCAGGAGGCTGAGATCTGAGGATCAGGGTTCAAAGCCAGCCTAGACAGGGAAGTCCGTGAGACTCTTATCTTCAATTAAGCATCAGAAAACCAGAAGTGGCACTGTGGCTCAAGTGGTAGAGCACTCATCTTGAGCTGAAGAGTTCAGGGACAGTGCCCAGGCCCAGAGTTCAAGCCCCATGACCAGGGGGGAAAAGTATTTCTTACCTCTTTTGTCTTACTAGCAGCTAACAGTGATGGACTATGTGTTCTTCTTTTTTTTTTTTTTTTGTATTATTATTATTATCTTTAAGTAGTTGTAAAAAGAGGTTTCAATTCAACATGTCAGTTTATAAATACAATATCTTTTGATTGATGCAGGACATGGTTTCATTCTGTATCAAGTGACTAAAATGATTGTTGATTGGTTCCTATAATAGAAGACAAATATAACTGTTCTTGTCTGCTTAAATGTATGTGAGATTATGTCTCTTAAAATGTTCTCTCTCTTTTTTTTTTTAGATCCCCATGGAAAGGACTTCCAGAACTAACCAATGAGAATGGCCAGTACTGTCCCTTTAGTTGTGAGACACAAGCCTGGTCAATTGCTACTGTTCTTGAAACACTTTATGATTTATAGTTAATACAGGGAGATTTAATAAGTATGTAACCACCTATGGAATAATAGGGTCAAAATACAATATAAATGCCTTACATGCACAAGCTTAAGTCATATGTTTTTAAATCTCATATAATGTTGATGCCCTGTTAGGTAAATTAGAAAGCATTGCTTTGTCTTTTTTTTTTTTTTTGACACAGCCTCACTATGTAGTCCAGTCTAACCTTGAGGTCATGATACTCCTGCCTTAGCATCTGAGTGCTAGGATTATAGACATATACCACCAAGTCCAGCTCTTCTTTTTCTTTCTTTTCTTAACTTTTTTTTTTTTTTTTTGGTCGGTCGTAGGGCTTGAATTCTGGGCCTGGGCGCTGTCCCTGCATTCTTCAGCCCAAGGCGAGCACTCTACCGCTTGAGCCACAGCACCACTTCCGGTTTTCTAGTGGTTTTTATTGGAGATAAGAGTCTCATGGACTTTCTGGCCCTGGCTGGCTTTGAACCTCGATCCTCAGATCTCAGCTTCCTGAGTAGCTAGGATTATAGGCGTGAGCCACCAGCGCCAGACTTCTTAACTTTTTAATATACAAAAGTACCTCTCAGATTGAATCAGAAGGAAAAATTATCATTACCAATAGAATGTTTTTCTTTAGAGTTCAATAAATGTTCTTTAAATGCGTAGAAATCTAGAATTCGTTGAAATAAAATTAAGTTATCTTCAAGTTATACATATGTGAAAATGGGAAGAAATAAGAAGGAGGTACCTTTAAATTGTGGTGTGTATTCTGTTCAACAATATTTAAATTAATAAGGCTGTGGTTTGTGAAGGTCCTCACCTTTTACTATAGTGTTCTTAATACTGGGCAGTGCATTTATTGCACATTTTAATAGTATTTCATAAATGAAGATGATAGAAGCTTCCATCTATAGAATATTAAATAGAACACAGATATTCAAAATGTACTCTTCAGTAATATAGTGAGATTTTTAGTATAATGGTTGTCAATATAACTTACGAAGATGTATCTGGATATATATTTCTAAGAAACAAAACATTAGGAAATTGGTTTCTAAAAAACATTCTCACAAAATTAGTCTTGAGTTTTAGTTTTCTATTATGAAATAGTTTACATTTTTTACATTTGCAAAATAGAAATTGTTGGGTTTACATATGAAAATGTTTGTGATTTTTTTTTTTTTTTTTGGTACTGTGGTTTGAATTTAGACTCTTGTGGGTCACTAGACAGGCACAATACCACTTGGGCCCTGCCACCTCCTACATGAAAAACTTAAATTGAAATAAATAAATAAATAAACCTGGCAGAAAAAAAAGAAAGCTTTCAATATAAAGTACTTGCCTAGTATATACTAGGTGCAAGGCCAAAAACACATATACACAAATACACACACACACACACAGTTTTCTAAAACCTAACATCTTTCTTTGGTTACTGCAGAAAGCTTTTAATAGATCATAGTAGATACTGGTTTCCTGTTTTGTTAAAAAAAAAACAACACATTAGTGCAATATTGAGAACAATCTTAACATAAAATTTTGGATATGAATTATCTTGAATTCAATAAAAATAATTGGAAAAGTTTTTGATGTTAGGATTTTCTAAATTTCCTTTGATAATCAGGAAGTGCTAGACGTATAACTGGATATGTTAAATTGTAACCCACTTGCACAACCATTTAATTTTTTTAATTAAAAATTTTTAAAGATACCTTAAAGTTATTAAAGGAAGAATTATTAAGTTATCTGACTTGACAGTTTTAATAGTACTTATTTCCCACATGGGATTTTTTAGAACTATTTTATTGTTTCTGTTTCAAGAGAGGTAAATAGGTATTTTTCAATTTAAAAAGAAGTAATTGCAAAATTTATTTCCATTTAATTTTCAGATATATATAATTAATGAAATAATAGTGGCAAGCGCACCTTCCTACTGTTCTTTAAAAACTGACTCCATTTTAAAAACCATTTTGACTAGCTTCGTTTTCTATTTTCCTCATCCAGAGCAGATTATGTCATAGAGATTCAAGAACAGTAGAAAAATAATCTGACCAAGATTTTTAAACACAGATTTCCAGAGTTTTCTCCCTTCTTTAGCTCCTTCTTTGAATAGTAAATGCCTTCCTCTAAACTGCACATAGAAGGAATGACCTTCCTTAAGGGTACTATTAGTTGATCAAATTTTGTATAGTTTTGTTACTCTTCCTTAACTTCAGTATGACAAGAGGAAAGAAAGGTCACAGAAAACCAGTGTATTTAAACAAAGCTGAAGGTTAAAAGTGACCAAGTAGATAAATCATAATTTTATAAATAATTTATAATAAATCAAGTTTTTAAAAGCAATAGCCATCTTAGATTGTCTACCATTTGGCAAATACCAACATCAGACTAGGTGTCAGTAGCTGTAATCCTAGCTACTCAGGAGGATGAGATCTGAGGATCACAGTTTGAAGCCAGCCTAGACAAGAAAGTCCTTGAGACTGTTTTCTCTAAGCATCACAAAAGCTGGAAGTGGAGCTGTGCTCGAGTAGAGCCCATCTTTGAGAAGAAAAAAAAACAAACGCTCAAAGATAGTACCCAGGCCCTGAATGAACTCAAGTCCCAGGACCAGTGCACGTGCGTGTGCACACGCGGGCACACACACACACACAAACACACATACCTGTCAGTATATCTTGAGGAAATCAGGTTCCTACTGAGGAACATAATGAAAGGGGACTGCTGATTTCTGCATGGTCTGTTATAAAGTGTAAGAGGCATGTCATGCATTTTCCTATCCGTGGTCATTAAAGCAGTAGTTTGTGAAGGGAGGAGGCCATTAGACTAAGGAATGTGTAGGTAGAATGCATCCTTTCTGAGTGGTACCCGTAGTATTCATTGTATAACATTTCAGCAGTGGTCTGTGCCTGGTTGTTTCACTATCCAACTTAATCTTCCTCTTCAAAACAAGAAAAGCACTTGCCAGTTTAACCAGTATGCTGTGATACTTTAGTAATTTTCAAAAATAATTGAGGAAAACTGAGACCTCTCATAAATATGGTATGATAACATGTTCATTGGAATCCACTTCTCATCTGTCCTAAACTGCTCTTTGGTGGGCAAATGTCCTTTATATATCTGTGCGTGAAAAACAATAAAAAAAAATTTTTCTAAAGGATGATAGTTTGCTTTCATTTATTACGTACTGTTCATTTTATTAGTGAAATTAGTGTATGTTATTTAATTAGACATATTAAAATTAGAGCAAAATAAGCTTTTGATCTATTAATAGGTCTGTTAGCAACTATATGAAGTATTTCTTGCATAGCATTTTTTTTTTCTAATTTTCTTTTCATGAACCTAACAAGGCAAATACTGTAGGCCAGGATAGATTAAATGTGTTCACACACCTCCTGGAAAGTAGCCAGATATCACATACACATTAGAATAATCGCTAAGTACCAAAATTGATGCATTTAGACTTTGCCTTAATGATTGTTGCTCTATTATGCAGTTCGGTATATTTATCTTCAGACACACCCAGGGGCAGGACTTCCAATAGTGTATCTGCTGCTGTTTGAATACGTCAACTATGTTTCCACCCTTTTTATACCTCACAGTGGGGATTCAATTTATTTCATTGTTCACAGAACCACAAGGAGAACCTTCCTAGAATACTGACTATATATGTCACCGCTCAGAGGACTTTGAAGGGTGTCCTCTGATTTGCCAACATCTCTTTCCAGTCTGATGGTTACAATGGTTCTTTTCCTCCACCAATGCCGATTACTTGCAGTTCTGAACCTTTATTTTTACATCTATAGGAACAAGGATAATAGTGATATCTATCTTGCATAGTAAGAATTCATGAAGTGTCCCCTTCATGAATTATGGTATATTATAGTTATTTAGTGATAGCATATCAGAGTTAAGTTTAGCTATGTTAATCAGACCCAAATCACAGTGGTTCAGTACAGATGGGGAAACAGGATGTGTGATCCAGGGCTGATTTGGTACTCCATGCTTAAGAGCCAAGGCAAAGCCAAGCACTGGGGCTCACCCCTGTAATCCTAACTACTGAGGAGGCTGAGATCAGAGGATCATGGTTCAAAGCCAGCCCATGTTCAAAAGTCCATGAGACTCATCTCCAATTAATCACCAAACAGAAGTGAAGGTGTGGCTCAAATGTTAAAACTAAGGGACATCACCCAGGCCCTGAGTTCAAGCTCCAGGACTGTCTCTCTCACACACACACACACACACACACACACACACACACACACACACACACACAAGACTTCAGCAAGCTATGTTAACTTAAAAAGACCTCCTCCCACTTGACAACAAGGTGCTCATTCACATCCTACATTAGAATACTACTTCTGTTAAAGGTGCCTCCAGCAGCATCCTCTGGACCATTCTCACCCTAGGCCTGGAGATGATGGTTACAGAAGAGGATAACTCAAAGACTCCCTCAGCTCCACTGGAAAGGACATTAGTATGTGCCCTTAATTAATGAACCCACATGCAGGGTGTGGACTCAAGATTCATAGTTCTCCTTTAAGAAAGGCTCCCGACCTGCCTGCTGAGGGGACTCCTTACCACCTCACTTAGAATACTTAGACCAAGGTTACCAGAATCAAACCACAAGCAAGAGAAGCAGACAAGAACTGAGGTAGCTAACCGGCAGAGTGCTTGATCAGCATGTGTAAGGCTGTGGGTTTGTTTTGTTTTGTTTTTGGGTCTGGTCGTGGGGCCTGAACTCTGGGCCTGGGCGCTGTCCCTCAGCTCTTCAGCTCAAGGCTAGCACTCTACCACTTGAGCCACAGCACCACCTCTGGCTTTTTTCTTTTTTCTTATGTGGTGCTGAGGAATCGAACCCAGGCCCTCAGGCATGCAAGGCAAGCGCTCTACCACTGAGCCATCTTCCCAGCCCCAGGCTGTGGGTTTGACTCCCAGCATTACAGAACAAAACAAAGGAACAAACATCCCTGAAATTGTGATTCATATCATTATACATTTGCTGTTTTATCAGGCAAAACAACATAATACAATATTACTCTAATGTCTCAGTTCCTGAGATAAGTATATTAGTATGATTGTACTAATGCA